CCCCCCCCCGTGTGGCTAGACTCTCAGGGACTCATGCACTGGCATGGGGAGCCTGGGTCTGATTGAGGAGCCCCAGGCTTCCACATCAGGCCTCACGCCCACTGAGGGAGCTGGTGGGAAGAACCCCCTGTACTGTTTTAAGTTGTCCTTTGGTTTTTGGCTGAGTGTAAATAGTTGTGCTTTATATTGTGTACCTCTCATTTTGTAGAACTTGTCACAGTTGTGAGTTAAGTGGGTTTGTGTGTGGATGTGGCCCTCACCCAACTACGAGCTCCACAAGTCAGGGACTATGTGTGTGGTTTGTATCTTCAGGGTCTTGCACACAGTAGGGGCTCACTAAATACTTGTTGAAAACCTGCTCTCCCACTCATTCTGCAGAACAGTGAGCTGTGGAGATGTTTGAGCTCCATTTGACTCATGTCATTTAAAACATGTTTTAAACTACTTAAACTCTTAACAGCACACTCACATGTGCTTTATTCTACATGATAACAGGTGGGAGATTACTAGTTCTGTCAGGCTAACTTGTCCTTGTGTAGATCTTGAAATCAAGCAAGTGGCTGAAAGATTCTTACCATTTGCAACTGCTTATTTTCACTCTGCCTGTAACAACACACTAGAACCCTCAGAAACAAACACAAAGGCAGTTAAGATTGACGTAGCCTGGTGGATTAAGATTAAGTGCCTGGGCTTTAGAGTGAATCTGCTCCACTACTATCTTACTCCCACCTTTTACTAGCTCTGTGACCTTGACCAAGGTCTGTAACCTCTCTGAGTCAGTATGCTCATGTGTAACATGCAGGTCATAAGAGACTTGAGAGGAGTAAATGCAGTGTTGCAGAGTACATGACATACAGGATTCAGTGTTATTAACTGCTGTTATTGTCATCGTCATTCTTGTTGTTTTATCCTTAACTTCAAATGTCAGGATTTCGAAGGGTTAAGGACTGCTTTATGTAAGTCTCACAAAAATGCCCTTTGCTTTAAAAAGAGGGAGTACAAAAAAGCCTAGTAATTTAGCATAGTTGCTCATAATCGTCACTGGGAAACCTTCGAATTGAATTTGACCTCTAGGACTAGGATCCTTGGGCTTACTAATGTAGGCCTGTGTAGTCCTCTGATTTGTTCTGCCCATAGCTCTTACTGAAATTTGATCTGACATGGCCATAGAAATAACCCATCTGTAAAACTGCCAGTAAAGGCTGCTTCGTGTATTCATTCCACAGAAACTTCCGGCATGCTTATAATAAGCCTGGCGCTGTGATGAAAAGCTTTTTCCCCATTTGACTGAATCTTCTCGACAATTCTGGCAGGTGGGTACTGGTGTTGCCGTTTTTCCATGAGACTTCAGGGTGTTAAGTAGCTTGCCAGGAACACGTTCTTTCTGACACTGAGTTGTGATTCACACAGAAACAAGAGTTTCATTTTGCCTTGGCTGCCTACAAGCATCTCAGCATTGTACTATCTTCAGCTTTAGCCTTTTTCTGTATCATGTTTGTGCACTTCCTTGACACAGCCCTTCTGTTTTCCTTGTTTGTGTTATCTTTATTTCATTCTCTAGAATATGACTTATTCTAAGCCATCCAAAATTTGGCTTTTTGATGAGTGAATGAAATATTATACATTTCATCTTAATATACATTTATTGCTGTCTCTGCATATGAAACTTAGAAAAGAAGGGTGGGCGGTGAAAAAAACTTTGGAGAAAAACAAAGTAGAATATTTGATTGTGAGACTTTGTAGGGTGGCAAAGGTAGAGAGCATTCAGGTGTGGTTTTTCTTTTAAGTTAAGAATCTGGTTGCTAACAGAAGTCAAATACTGTGCTGCTTTCACTTTTTTTTTTTTTTTTTTTTTTTGAGTCAGGGTTCTCAGTCTGTCAGCCAGGCTGGAGTGCAGTGACATGATCATGGCTCACTGAAGCCTGGACCTCCTGGGCTCAGGTGATCCTTCCACCTCAACTTCCTGAGTTGCTGGGATTACAGGCATGTGCCACCACGCCTGGCTCATTTTTGGATTTTTTGTAGAGTTGTGATCTTGCTATGTTGCCTAGGCTAGTCTCAAAATCCTGGACTCAGGAGATCCTCCCGCCTTGGTCTCCCAAAGTGCTGGGATTACAGGTGTGAGCCACTGCACCTAGCCTTTCTTTCACATTTTGATTTTAATCTCTTAAAATTATAAAAATGTATGTTGCTAATGTGAGCTTTCTAATTATTTTCTTTATAGATAATGATGCTTGAATTGAACAATTAAGGTAAGATTTATGACCTATGTGATATGCTTTTCTTATTCAGATTTCTTTATAGAATTTAGCAGAATTACTAAAGTAATCTTTTAACCTTGGTGAGGATTATTGCCTTTGGGACAATCACTCCAAACTCTGGAGTATAAGAGACTTCACATTATATTTTTAGATAAATTCTGATAATAATATAGTAGGATATTTTATTCATTTAACTTACATGAAAGAAATTTCAAAGAATTTTACTGTTTTTAGAGAAGAAAAGGAAATTTTTCTAATGCCCATAAGCTGATTGTGGTCATGTTAATGTATAAATTGAATGATACTAGCTTTTGTTAGATGTTAGAGGACAATAAGATGGTCTTTGTAATTATTTATATCACCATGTATGTTTGTATGCAACTCTACATTTGGAATCAGAGAGGTGTTCATATATACATATATTAGTTATTTTAGCAAATGCCAATATAGTCCCCAATAGTAACATCTGGGAGGCCCCAAACTATAGATGAGAAATGTAAAAACTTGTACCCTATTTCCTGGTGGGTCCAGCATAGCCCAAACTTGTTAGGTCAGAATAATGACACAAACTAGGAAATCTCATATTACTATGAAAAAAGGAAAGAACTGTTAGTCCTGATAGGCCAGGCATGGTAGTTCTTTCCTGTAATCCCAGCACTTTGGGAGACCGAGGCAGAAGGATCGCTTGAGCACAGGAGTTTGAGATCAGCCTGGACAGCTTAGTGAGACCTCGTCTCTACAAAAAATTAGCCACATATGGTGGCATGTGCCTGTAGCTACTTTGGAGGCTTAGGTAGGAGAATTATTTGAGCCCAGGAGTTCTAGGTTGCAGTCATCTGTGATTGTGTCACTGCACTCCAACCTGGGTGACAGAGTGAGACCCCAACTCAAAAAAAAAATGATCCTGATAAAATTATAAATTACAAATCTCATGGAATTTCTAAAAATTAATTTGGTAGAGGTATGCAACTAGTAGTCTGGGTGGGAGTTGTTAGAGTGCATGATCTGGTTTATAATTTAAGTATTCTAATTTCAGTGCGGTACAATAAAACTTTGGTAAGGCAATTCATTAGAGACTTATTAAAATACTAGAATGAATGATAGACTAGAATTATGCATGTCTGTTGCACTCTCGTAACACAACATGGAAATTGTGTGAAAGGAACACTGAAGGAGGCTGCTGGAGGAGGATCCCCAGTGGAGTTGATGGCCATGCTGAGCAGTTCTGAGGGTGCAGTGGTTCCTTGCAGCAGAGAGAACAGTGTATGCCAGGGTGAAGGCAAGAGAGAGTGGGGTGTGCTGAGTGAGTGGCATCAATTTCAGTTCCATGTGACAGCGCATTTCAGAATGACTGAAGCAGAGTGTGAGCGGGGAAGCAGCCTGAGTGAGGCTGGCTAGTAGCAGGCATAAGGTGTCTTGCCTTAGAAGTTGACCTTAGTCCCGGATCTCTGGGAAATGACCCGCTGAAGAATTCCAAGGAGAGGACATTAGATAGTTACTCCCCTTGGGTTGAAATAATTGGTTTGCTTTCATGGTATTGTCAGTCTCTTTAAGTTGAAGTTGTTTAAGTAAGATTCCAAAGAATTAAACAAAGAAACAGATGTAGCATAATGTTACCTACATCAGGAAAGTAAGGGGCTTGAGGGTGTTTCCATTTCCTCTCTAACATGAATTTAGTCTGGGCATTGAGCAGAGCCATATGTTGGAAATCAAAAAAGTATCAAAAGCTGTGCACCTTAACTGCCTTGCACTTTTGTTGGACAGTTTAAATTTTATCAGTTATAGTAGTAATTACTATGGTAGTAATCTAAAAGAACCAGTAAGAGGTAGGGACTAAGGTATGTCCCATCATTCTTTAATCATTTTTTAACCCTTTATGGATCACCTACCAGCAACTCAACCACGTTTTACGAAATACTGAAGAGAATCACTTTATATTAAATACTATACCATTGGAACCAATTATTTTATTTTAATCATATTTGGCTTATAATGGAATTTTGGACACTGAGGAAGTTTATTTATGACAAAAATTAAAATGTTATATCTTACATTTCTCTAATGTGAAACAGTCACTGGCATGCATTACAGGTTCATTGATACATGTTATGCAATAGCAATTTGTTTGATGTATTCCATTTGGTGTTTTTCTATTTGAGCAGACAATGCAATCTTGTTTTCTTCCTCACACATTAATAATATGTAATTTGTTGTCCAGTCTGTGCACTGCTCTAAAAGCATTTCACATTCTCTTTCTACGTAATGCCAGCTGATTTTTTTTAACGTATATCTCAGTATATATTCCATCTTTTTATTTACCTTCGTGCAATTTGGATGGAAAACTTCAAGGAAACATACATTTTTGAAAAATTTGCGCTGGCATAAGTTTGTCCTGTATAATCACCAGCAGTCTCTTTATGTCCCCTGAGAGGGAACACCCAAATAGTTTGCTAAATTTACGATGTCCCCTCAGCGGTGACATCCAAGTGCAAAGGGTTAATCATCATTCTTTAACTTTCCCATTTACTTTATTTCTCACTGTACAAACTACTACAGATTTTTTCCAGAATACAGCATGTAGAATTATTACATGTACAGTAAGTGTTCAATTATATTAGGTCATATTTGCATATAACCAGGAGACAGCCAGATAATGTTTACTACAGTGACTTTACAAATTCATCCTAATCAACAGAACAATTATTGTGCATATCTTTATTACCTTCCCATTGAGGGAGTCACAATACTTACTTTCATATTAGAGCTAATAACTAGTTTTGCTCTAAGAGCTGTGTTGTCCAGTACACCTGTTGGCTCTTTAAAGATGCCTATTTAGTTAAAATTAAATAAAAATAAAAATTCAGTTCCTCACTCCCATCAGCCACAAGTCAAGTACTCAAGAGCCACATGTGGCTAATGGCTGCCACATTGGACATTTCCATCATTGTATACAATCCTGTTGGACAGGTTATCTTCTTATATACATTTTAAATTCTTAAAAACCATTTAATACTAAAATATTTACAGATGAAATGATATAGGGAGAGTGGGGAGTTATGGAGGAAACAGGATTTCCTTGTTTCACCTATAAGTTGACAATTGGTGAAGCTGGGTTTGGGTTCATTGTGTTATTCTCATTATTCAGAAATGTTGTGTATGTTTGAAATTTTCCATAATAAGTTAGAACAGAAACCTTAACTAGGAACAGTGCTCCCACCAGTGATCAGAAGTAACTGTCAATGGGTATCTAAAATCTCACACCTCACAGGCTGGCTCTTGTAGTATAGGAAAGTTGTTAATCCTGCCCCAGGACTTCCACTAAAGAGCGTGTAGAGCAAGTGGCATTTTTTTAAAAAGGTTTATTTCATTCTACCTTAAAACACACAAGTAAGGGCTTAGACTTGCTTCTAAGCTGCCCAAATGAGTCTTATGGATAGAATGTGCTAGATTATGATATTAAAGTAAATATTCTATTGATCCTGGCATTAATTTTAGCAAACTCAGGATAGTGTTCCTAATGAAGAAAATAAAGTTCTTTTACTCAGTGGTTGGTTGATTTTATTTCACAGCTAGATCAGTCCATTTCTGTCTCTTGGTGAACAGTACCTATATCTGAAGAGAGAAAGGGTGGGGGGAGGGAGGAGGAGTAGCAGAGAAAAGTATGAGAAAAGCCATTAGTAAACATGTCACTGTGCACCAAAGAGCTGTTGGAAATTGTTAAAAGAAACTTGTGGACTTCGGTTTCTTACTGCATTTAACAAATGGTGAAGGGGTTTATTGTGAGCAGAGAGGGGCTTATTTATGATGGTTCAGAGCAAGGTTTTTGGGCTCAGACTTGGGTTTGAGTGTCAGCTTCACAGTCAGCTGTGATCTAAGAAACAGAAGAGTGAGCCCTTTCCTGCTGTTTTAGAGAATAATGGTAGAACAGTGGCCGGCACACAGTTACGTTCTCAGTAAATGACAATTCTTAAGAATTGTATTCCCTTTGCAAAAAGGAATTGGGGCTATGCATTTTATTTCATTTACGATATTCATAGAATCACGTACAGGAGTGTGCAGGTATAAAGGAATGTAATAGTACCTTTTTATTTTACAGGGTTCTGAAGTCAAAGCTTTTGAGATCAATAATGGCAGGAAAATCATCACTTTTTAAAGTAATTCTCCTTGGAGATGGTGGAGTTGGAAAGAGTTCCCTTATGAACAGATATGTAACTAATAAGTTTGATACCCAACTCTTCCATACAATAGGTGTGGAATTTTTAAATAAAGATTTGGAGGTAGATGGACATTTTGTTACCATGCAGATTTGGGACACAGCTGGTCAAGAGCGATTCCGAAGCCTGAGGACACCATTTTACAGAGGTTCTGACTGTTGCCTGCTTACTTTTAGTGTCGATGATTCACAAAGCTTCCAGAACTTGAGTAACTGGAAGAAAGAGTTCATATATTATGCAGATGTGAAAGAGCCTGAAAGCTTTCCTTTCGTGATTTTGGGTAACAAGATTGACATAAGTGAACGGCAGGTGTCTACAGAAGAAGCCCAAGCTTGGTGCAGGGACAACGGCGACTACCCTTACTTTGAAACAAGTGCAAAAGATGCCACGAATGTTGCAGCAGCCTTTGAGGAAGCGGTTCGAAGAGTCCTTGCTACCGAGGATAGGTCAGATCACTTGATTCAGACAGACACGGTCAATCTTCACCGAAAGCCCAAGCCTAGCTCATCTTGTTGTTGATTGTTAGACGTTGTCAATGCGTTCTAACCAACTCACGTGTATACATAAACATGGGGATGGAGAAGACAATTAGCACTTGCAGCAGTATATCATCTACTAATACAATTAAACTAATGTATATTGCTGCTTCATTAGTTGGTGGGAGAAGGGACACATCCACTCACAAAGGAATCTATTTACTCAACAATGGCACCTTACATTTATCAGTTGTAATGGCTGTCTAATCCTATTTCTTTAATTTAAATATGTAAGTTACACAGCTAATAAACAAGATGACCAAGACTTTAATTGTAATTAAAACAAAAAACTTGACTATTCTAGAAGTTATACTTGGGCTTTTTTTCCCGGAAAAATGGAGAACTACTTTTTATATGTGTATGTTTTTATGTAATTAGCATTGTATTCTTGGTTCAAGGGAAAAATTTCCTAAAGCAATAATGTTAGATATTAAAGATTAAAATCTAATGCATTTACAATGTATTGTTATTTACTTCATTCTCTTCAAAATGATTTAACTGTTCATATTTTCATTCTACATATAATTAGAATAGATCTCATTAGTAATTGATCTCACTCATCTGCCACACATGCACCCTTATGCCCAAGACAGAAGCTAAATGTACCACTCTAAGAGGAAATGCTAAGAAGGACTGTACTTTCTAAGAGGGTAAATGAAGACATCTTTATTTGGTCATATATTTATTAAGCATCTTCCCTATCACTGAACGTTGGTGATTTGCTCACAAGGGGATATTTGTTCTAAAGAGTCTGGTCATTGCAGACTTGATAAAGCAAATTGTGGTCTTTCGTGGTCCAGTTCATATGCTGTGCCATTGACAGTCCAATCCTATAGAGGCAAACCAAAGCGTAGACTCAGTTACTGTGGACAAGACCCTCATCTGTGGTGCAATGGGGTTTTCAAACGACAGTGAGGGGAACTGGTTGTCATGGAGGGGTTTTGAAAAATCAGAATGACACATTTCTCTCCCTGGCCCCACCCAGTGAGAACCACCTAAAAAAACATTATAGTAACCTAAGCTTTTGAAAGTCTAATTTTCCTAACATAAGGGTCAATTTTGGCATGTGGAAACACTACAGAAGATTGGGGAGAACAAAATAGGTGGCAACTGTGGCAGCAGGCGTGGTGAGAAACAGCTGCCAAGTCTCCAGGAAGAAAACGGAGAACTGTAGCTCATGCTTCACAGTTCAGGGAAGGAGGGGCCTGAAGGTACAGGAGTTGCTCACCATATGGTGCTTGTCTGTCATGATGGGCATACATCCAGCTAGGTTCAAGCTGTCTGTAAGTGGAAAGCCTTTTGAGATAGAGTTCAGTTTGAAGAAAAAGCCAAACTACTGAACTTGGAGAATAGACAAGCGTGCACTTGACAACTGATATAGCAATGACTGTGTTGCATGAAAGATGAAAAGTTACAATTCTCAGTGGACTAAATGTTACTTTACCTTTGTGAAAAGATCCCTAGTTGAAGCAAAAAACATTCCAAATGTTCCTTATCTTAAAACCTTGCTTTTAAATTTCTCTACATATGTTTTCACTTTACTATTTTGACACCACAATGCAGGTTCTCTCACAGTATAGGTATCTTGTGGGGCAGCAAAGTGTTAAGTACAAAAACGCGCCTGCGTGGTTCCCATTGAAAGGTGGGTACCAGAGTCAGTGTTTTCTGTGACTCTGTCACAAAGTGTTGAAGTGATGAAAAGTTAAGGAGCTCTGGTGTAGCATGGCAGAGATTAAGAGTATGTCCAGGGGAAACGGATGTTAATTGAAGCATCCTGGGGAATTTCTGGCTATAGAAAGAGGACAGAACTGAATTTGTGCATTTTGCATAGATCATTTTTTTTTTTGAGTTGCAGTCTCACTCTGACACCCAGGCTGGAGTCCAGTGGCACGCTGCTCATGGCCATCGCAGCCTCGACCTGCTAGGCTCAGGCGATCCTTCCGCCTCAGCCTTCCAGGTAGCTGGAACCACAGGCATGTACCACAACACCCGGCTAATTTTGTAATTTATTGTAGAGATGAGGTCTCGAACCCCTGAGCTCAGGCAATCCTTTTGCCTCCACCTCCCGTAGTGCTGGGATTACAAGCTTGAGCCACCATGTCTGGCTTAGATCACTTTTAGAGCACTAACATAGATAACCAACTCAGTGCTAATATACATGTGCTTGTTGGAGCCCGATTTTCTTAAAGACTTTTCACCCCATTGCTCTCGTGTTCTAGAACCTTCAAGGGACATCGTCTGCTAAGTCCAAGCTTTGCCACCTTTCCTTTCCTAATGATCAGCCCCTGGCTTTCCCGATGCCAGTCCTGGACCTGGCCTATCAGCTGTCAGTCCTACCCATGTACCCTGTGCTCTTCTCCACACCTTCATGCCTGCAGTGCTTTCCTCTGCAGCCCAGCTCAGAGGTCCCACTCATTCCTTCAATTATTGCTCCTTCAAAGATGCAGTTACATGGGAAATTTAGCATTTACCTTTAATAAGTACATTACTAGTTCTTATCTCACCCTCACAAGCCTGGAGAAAAGGATGTTAAGGCAAGGTACCACTGTTACGCTACTGAGACAGGGCCTGGACCCAAGCCTTATCACTGCTATGACTTCCTCCTGTCACTCACACTACTGTTCCTGATTGGCTTGCATTATAAGCTCGTGGAAGGTGGGGCAAACTATATACAATCAATACATGTTTAGGTCTTTCCTAGTAGCATGACTGAAAGTACTCCTAGATTTCCATATGCGTGTGTACTTTTTTCTTCTCCCAAAGGTCTGGCGCCTAGTCAATCTGAGCTCTGTATAATGGGTTGAGATAATCATATTGGTTTGCAGACTCTTAATGAGGGAAGTAGGACTAAAATGGTGGTGATGGTGGTGGTAGTGGTGGAGGTCAGCACTTTAGAATTGGGTATTAAACAACTACAATCTTGGACAAGCATCTTTATTTAAGAAAGCAAATAAATAGGGTAGAAAATGATGGTAGTAACTTCATACAAGGATACAAGACCAAACTTAGAGAATCCTTTGTTTAAAAGTTATTCAGAATGGAACAAAATTCTTCACATGCTCACAATAAGCACAGAAAGTATCTGGTAATATTACTTGCTTTTCAATGGACATGTACTGTTTTACAGTAAGATCACACACTCATTATAGTACCAAAGAGGCTGCTCCCAACTCCCTGTGGTGTATAGCCCAAAAGGCTAAGAGTACAAATATTAGTGGAATCCAAGCTTTTCTTTGACAACAATTCTAAAATTGCCTTACAACATTTTACAAGTACAGATATCAATAGGTTCACTTAATCTTAGTTTACTTTCTGAGAGAAAAATAAAAGAACATAAAGTGACAGAAGCAACACATTCCACTGTGGCCCATACCTGGACCCAGCCTCCCACTTTACAAAAATGGATCCAGGATTTAAAATTACAACAGGATCACTATTCCCAGCCTCTGACAGAAGTAGGCACATGACACCATGACACTTGGCACTGCAAAAGTTTTTCTTCGGCTTCTTGGGTAGTGCGGTGTATACTGCCTATAAATTTTTATAACATCTCTAAATGTATAAATAAATCAATGTATGTGCTACCCATTCCATCCCCTACTGTAAAATCTTTTGTTTTAAATCTGTCCACCAAATCTTGACTATGACATTTTTTGAGGTTGTTATATCATGGGATCAAGTTATCTGAATTAGGAAAGTCAAATGCTTTTTCTCAATTTTTAAAATCAAAATACTTAAATTATTGATGAAGAATTCTTTATAAATAACAGTGTTCACAAGCAAATACTGATCTGTTGACAAGTGACATGAAACGGAATGTACTTTTTTAATATAAAAGGAATTTCATTAGGTTTAGATAAATTGAGATTACAATTACGTTTTCCAAGCTATTAATCAAGTTACTTACAATGTATACATTCCTGAGTATACCCCATTGTGGTGACATCATTTAGTTCAGATTTTCTCCACATTCAGCTTAAAAGGTGTTTCTTCCCAAGAAACTGAACTTTTCTGTCAAACGCGCTTGATCGAATAGGAGAATTGGGTTCATAAAATGGATTCATTGCAAACTAGGAAAAAAGAAGGTATCAGTGAGCTTGTCAAAGCAAAAAGGCTGACAAATCATAGGTTTCTAAAAGGAAATTATTTTAAAATTTTAAAATAAAAATCATCAAAGATCCAAAAGTCTGAAGACATTTTTAAGTTTCATTGAAAATACTGCATTGTTAAATATTAAGATCACCTTAAGAAAATTTTATTTTGGTGTTTTAGTTTTGAAAAGTACCTATGGCAAAACTAATGACAGTATGATACATGTTTCTTGTTAAGTTAAATTAACTTTTGGGATTCATCCTGTGTATGAAAGACTCACATCCATTATAAATAAATGGATTAACCTGTAAGGCCCTTTGGCTACATAAAACAAAGAATCTGCCATATGCTCAGAGTTCAGAAAAAGTTACAATGAAATTAAAAGTTACTCTTGTGTGGTAACTTTTAAACAATCAGATTTTTAATACTCTTTTTTTTAACACAGAGCTACATGGTCAGCTTTTCAGCTAAAGTAATAAGTGTATCAAAATATGAGAAAATATTGAATGGAATCACTAATGAGGAAAGGCATTACAGATTTTTACACCTTAATCACTTGATATTGTACATCTTTATAAGAGGACTAAATACTATTTGCTACCTCTGATTAGGAATATTGTTAAATTTTATTACTGTGCTGACACACAAGAAATCCTATCCAAATATAGAACATAAATTAATAACATACGGTTGTTAGCACCACTGTTTAATCATGACATCCTATTGCTATTTTATCTTTCAATTGAATATCAAGAAATGCAGGTGTCACCATTCTTAAATGACTATTTGATAATACAAGAACCACTTCCTGTTAGTTTCTGATCTCTCTTCAGCGCACTATAACTTATTGTAAAACAGATGGAAACATTTTAGATTAAATTATGAAGCAATTTCCCTTATGTAGGCTGCTTCCTTTCTGTCTTTAGAATTTCCTAATCAACTATATGCACTGAAAGGGGAAGAGTGAAACTGACCTTCACAATCATTTAAAAATAACTACCACAAGTTGCTCTCCTAATACACATTAACTTGGCTGTGAAGACTTGCCTGCTGAGGGAGTTGTCAGACACAGTTCTGATAGGAAAAAGGGGAAAAATAGTCTGAAAGGAAACTGCAACACAAAGGATTTACTTCAGCAGGCCAGTCTCCTGTCAAAGTTAGAATCCTTTTTATAATCAGATTTTTAAAATTATAGAACATCCCATACCTTTATATATAACTCATACACATCAGTAAAGAAGTTCTTTATCCCATCTTCTTGTCTTATGTCATGAAGCATAATAAATCGCATATGTGAAATAATTAAGGTGTAATCTTTCTTAGAAGTGAAAAACAAAAAGCAATTCATTGGTAGAATCTTCAAATTAGTCACATGCAGTATATTTTGTGATGGAAAAGTTGAATACATAAACTAGGTTGAAAGTTAGCTTAGTTTTATCTTAACATGACCTTTTAAGTTAAAAATAACTATAAAGTCACCTTTGATAGGGTTCAGATAAACTTTAGTTTTACACGAGATTTAGTTTTAAAACTAGCTGTTAAACAAAATGTGCCCCCCCCCCAAAAAGTAGCCCCATAAATGGAAATGTTGATTTTGACCTGACTCTGAAGTCTATAGACTTAAAAGCCTCACATCTAGGTTCCCTGTTTTTCTAGTGAGTAACCCGCTCTTTAGCTAGGTATCTTTACTAAAAAGGTAAGGATATGCCCTGCAGTGACAAATGCTGACACAAACCACTCGTTGAACTTGTCCACAGTTTTCAAGTACATGTTGTTTGACAGCCACATGTTCTCGTCTACGAGGTCGAGAGCAGCATGAGCTATGAACTGGTTCAGATGACGATGGTCATCCTAGATGACAGCGTGAGTAGCAATAGATTAACATTTCCATATGGCATCAAGAATGCCGACATTTCATTCTATAAATTCTGTACATGGTTTTCTTGTGCGGATATAACACTGTCTCCTTTTACTTCCTTTATTGCTGTCATGAGACTTATAAAAGATCTTGTATTGTCACATAATATTCTTTTTCAATTTGATATCTAAATCTCAAAAGGGGACAAAAACAGCCAATTACTTAAGTGAAATGATGATTTATATAAAATTATTTTTATTGAGTCATATTTTTCTAGAATTTTTTAATGTTGCAAGAAGGAAGTTATCAAATTCTATAAACATTTAAGCTTGTGAAAAAAAGATACTATGTTTAAAAAACAACAATGTAGATCCTGCTTTTAAGAAGCTCACATCTTAGATGAGAAGGTGACACCCACATACAATATATAAAAGGGGATGTGACTGAAGGAAAGCCCTTGAGGTAGGCGGGGACTAAGGAGGTCATGAGAGAGCTATGGAGAGAGCTGTAGAGAAGTGCTGTTGCACTGGGCCTTGAGGTCTGGGCTTCCTACACAGCACCAGGAAAGAAGAAGAGACAGCTGAAGTGGCACTTGTAATGGCCTGCCAAAGGTAGCTTTCAGGTAGAGGGGGCTTAAATGGCAAGTGTACCTCAGAGTGGCAAGAGGCCATGCTTAGCCCCAGCTGTGAGCAGTCACCTATGTCAACAGCAGGAGCTGCTCCTGTCAGTTGGGGATATTATTTACATGGGCTGAAATGGCTTAACTAGAGAGAAGGTGGGACTGTACCATCATAATGTGAAAAGGAAATTCACAACTTGGAATTAAGTCTTACTCTAATATAATTTTGTCTTTCAAAATACATTTTTCAAAGAATATTTCTGTTATGGGTTGAGTGAACCCTCCCCATAATTCCTATGGGAAATCCTAAGCCCCAGTACCTCAGAAATGTGGCCTTATTTGGAAAAAGGGTCGTTGCAAATGTGGTTTTTTTAAGATGAGGTCATACTGGAGTAGGGTGGGCCCTTAATCCAATATGACTGGTGTATTTATAAAAAGGGAAGATATGGAGACAGATACACAGGAAAAATGCCACGTGAAGACTGGAGTTACTCTGCCACAAGCCAAAGAACTTCCAGAAGCTGGGCAAGAGGCCTGGAAAGATCCTTCCCTAGCACCTTCAGAGGAAGCATGGCCCTGCCCCACACCTTGATTTCAGACTTCTGGACCCCAGAACTGTGAGGTATTTATTTCTGCTGTCCTAAACAACTCAGTTGTTTGATACTTTGTTACGACAGCCACAGGAAACTACTAGGGCCTCCTTGCAGAGGTTGTTCCAATGACTGGGCTGGAAGAAGGCTGCCAGTTGCCCTGGAATCCTTCACACAGCTAAAGTATGTTTACCTCACTCACGTTGCCATGACAAAGCTAAGTGACTCCTTAGAGAAATGGATGTACTTTGTGTCTGGCTCACAGCAGCATTTTCCACTACCTTACACTGATGATCAATCTCGAGAGATCAGATCAAACTACAGAAATGCTTTACGAAGGTGAAAGATAGCAGGAGAAAGAACTAAGATTAAGTCATGCAACAAAGTATTTTTATATGTGCTGCTCTGTCTGCCACAAGGCCAGTGGAGTGCACAGAAACTATATAGAAGTAGCTGTGTCTCACAATATAACTATTGCTACAGATACCTCAAAGCAAAGTTTTAATGAACAGTGTTCTCATAAGAATGTAGGAAAATAATGTAACACCACCACCTGATAGATAATACCTTAAGCAAATTTCTATCATATTTTGGTGGCCAAGATTTGAATTGTTGAAAAGCATGATACACTGAACATTATACATTACAATTGTCTTAAAGGATATTAAAGCCTGTCTTTGGAGGTTGGGAGAAACACAGCATAGTTGTCAGCAATTTATTAGGAACACAGACTAATACAAAAAGATGGAAGGGACCAGGCTCTCCTCATCTATGGGTCTCTTTACTCTGAGTGGCAGCATGTTCTTGAGCCAAGGTTAGTTTTTGGAACCATTTTTTGGCAAGAAAGTCGGGTGGCATCACCTCTGGGGCTGATTCTGAGTTTCCTGCTTGCAGCCAGGGTGTCACTGTGGAGTAGAGCATGCAGGCACCACCTTGCCAGGAAGTGCTGCAGACCTATGGCAGGAGAATATGGAAGCAAGGATCTCTCTTGACTTAGTATGTCCTAATGAAGAATGTGATTCACTGAAACAGAATGGACTTTCATGGCATTTCAAAGCATAATAACTGTTCCTCCAGACCCACTACAAGTGGGCTATGTTTCTGTGTGCTTAAGAGCAGCACTTCTTGGTAGGTGTGACACAGTGAACTGAATATCATGGGAAAGAGATGAGAGCATTGTGCTAGTCTGTGCTAAGTAGGTGTGTGCTGAATTAAAGGATGAATAAACAAATCCAAGGACATTCCCTGGCTGGCTTCTATCAGTCTGTGGAACTCCAAGCCTCATTTAATTGTGGTGGATTTCAGTTACCTCATTGGTCCAGATCTCTTCCAGTACTAATATTACATTTTATCGTAACATTACAATAGCACAAAAATTCTTATAGAATTTAAGGTCCCATACGCACTTTGGATTCTGCTTTCCCAGCTGGCAAAAACTCCATTTCAAAAACTGGATTATCATGATGGCCAACAATTACAAAGTAGAAGCTTCCAGACATTGTCTTCAATATATGGCTCCTAATCAAATTTTAAAAAAACATATTTTTAGTACTCAACACTGAAATTCAGAAATTACTAACAAGAAGTCTAGAATTTTTTCTTAAATCTGACATTGTGGAGGAAGATATCACTAAGTTTGGCACACTTTCCAATATACTACCATAGACATATGGCTTTTTGCCTAAACAACTTATATATCTGTGATATGTCCTGTAGAATCCAATGCACTATATTTTCATAAGGAAAATGGAGGACCTCTAATATAGAATTATGAAGACAACATTCTGATGTTCTAAAAGTGTGGAACATTCAGCTCAAGGGTTCCCAAGTGTCTGATGGAATAAGCTGGGCCTCACTTGGATACTTCAATTAGCACCAGCACTGATACCTGGAAGGATCAATAGAGGGTGCCAGTAAGGACAATAGAGAGTAGTAGAAAAACAAAGGAACTAATTAGCCAGCCTTAGAATTTTCCAGGAGGCATCCTTCAGAGGAAGCTAATACAACTCTACCCCTTGTCATTTACACAGAAAAGATACTACATCATTTATTTATCTGTAGATTATGAGTGCTGTATTTGTCTTCTTCCTATCCAAAGTATGTGCTACAAATATAAATCTCTGCAAAAGCAAGAGGCTATGATATGCCTCTTCATGCACCAATTTATAAAGGAAGAAAGTTTTGTATTCTAGAAAAGACAGAAGAAATAATCCCCAAAGGAAGGTATTCTGAGGCACCAAGAGATCTTAGAACTAAGATTAACAGGTTGGCTAAAGAAATAAAACTATGAGAAACTGGGGAGGGGGAGGGAAATATCGGTTATTCCATGGCTTTTAATATAGATAATTGAAATCTAGATAAGTGATGGATGAGTTGTGTGTATGTGTGTGGGGGTGGGTTTAGCCCATGGTAACCCCATGGTGTATATTTTTAGCACAAAGGCTTTGGAGTCAGACAAAGCTAGGTTCAAGTCCAGCACTGCCACTTACTGGCAGTGTGACCACAGGCAGTCCTTAACCTCCCAATGTTGATTTTCTCATCTGTGAAATAATGATAACACTGTAGCTACCTTATGGCACACTTATAAGCATTTCACTATCTAATGCATGTAAAGTGCCTCGCTCAGTATCTGACTCACAGTTAAGCCAAGTTCAATAAATGTTACCAAGAATAACATGGAAGACCACAGCACATTGGCATTTGGTGACTGGTAACTTCTCAACATGAGGTAGAAATCTAGTTAACTGGAAATGTATAGTCAGTCTTCTGGAAAATACACCTGAGATGTGTGAGAACTCAAGACTCATCACACCTCACTGGGCCTTCTGCTGATTCATATTAGAACATGCAATGAAATCAGGAAAAATCCGAAATGTATTTACTAATGAATGATACATTTTGTAAAGGCAATCAGGGCACAGCTGGCACTTTTAACTCTTGAGCTGGAAGGCTATGGTGGTGGAAGAAGGGGAAGACAGGAGACTAATTTGGCATGACAAAGTAGGATTTATAATGTTATTTGGGAGCCTGACCCGCACATTACGTGGCCTGGTGGCATCCAGGGCACTCAGCTGCAGGCAGCCGGGCATGGACCCTCAAGCCGCCGGGGCCCAGGCGCTGGGGGCCACGGAGCCACCTCCGGGCCCGCCACAGCCATGTGTGCAGGAGGTGCCCCCTGGCCCGGAGGCTGGCTTTGCCACAGCTGACCCCCTGGCCAGGAGAAAGAGACTAAGAAGGCCACAGATCGACAAACCAGTGAAGCGCAGAGAATCCCTAACGACAGTACCACCAATGGTAAGGGCGCCCATGCTGGAGAGGAAGGTTTTGCTGTGGAAGATAAGGATTCTGATGGGATGTGAATACCTGGGAGCTATCAGAAGGGACAGACTGTCCATCCAAGGAACAGACTGGTGATCTTTTTCATGAGGACTGGGACTTGGAGTTGAAAGCAGATCAAGGGAATCCATACGATGCTGACGACATCCAGGAGAGCATTTCTCAATAGTTCAGACCCTGGGTGTGCTGTGCCCCACAAGGAGACATGATCTATGACCCCAGTTGGCACCATTTGCCTCCACTGATACCCCATTATTCCAAGATGGTCTTTGAAACAGGACAGTTTGATGCCGCTGAAGATTGAGTGTGGTGCTTTCGGCCTCTGGGTGGGTGGCCCCTCCAGGTCAAGGTCTCTTTTCCTGTCTGTGAGGTGAGATGTCATATCTGAGAAAATGTTCCCAGGGATCCCTGAATCTGGGGTACACAGACTGATGTTAAATATGGCCCCACTGTACTCCCATTTCTGTTGTTGTTTTTAATGGGCTCCTCCTTGGAACATGTGAGTGTTCATGTCTTTGTCAAGAGGAGTTGTGTTCTTTATAAATAAAGGTAGAAAAATAAAAATAAATAAATAAAATAAAATGTTATTTGGTGGGGAAGGGGGGGCATACTACAGCCTGCAGGCAAATCTAGCCTTGTGTCTTTACTGCTGCCTAAGGCTGCTTTCACCCTTCAATGGCAAAGCTGAGCAGCTCCAACAGAGACCATCTAGCCCACAAAGCCAAAAGTATTTACTATCTGGTCCTTTACAGAAAAAGTCTGCCCCTGTTTGGGGGAAGGATGAGGAAAAAGTCCAAATAGTTAAAGTGGGTAACAAAGACAAGCAGGAATGATGCAAAAGCTATGCAACACTAGGAGAACTGGCAATAATTCTCCAGCTAAAATGAGAGGAAAAGGGATGAGGACTTGAAATTTGAACAAAGTAAACAATGATATCATGAATTCTTGCTGGACTAGATTTCAGAGCTAGAGTTTGCCAAGGGAAGGGCTTATTTTCTTCAGCACAAACATTTAAGCAACAGAAAAAAAAGAAGCTGCAGAAGGAAATATATGTATAAGGAAAATATCATACATCCCCCTGACACTCACCCCTACATGGAAATCCATGAAATGGGCAAGCAGCATAGTGCTAAGTACAGCGGGAAGACAAACAGGGAACTGAAAGAACAACTGCTAAAGGATGCTGCTGTAAACGGCCCAGCGGGCAGAAAATGAGACAGAGCTTTCTTTACCTTCTGTCCTTGACTTGAACTGTCAATAATTTGATTTTATAAATAGCTGAAGAAGCAAGAAAGGCTATAACTCTTAATTCAATTCTGCTAAGGAAAAACTGAAAGGTGAAGTGGAAGAACTGAAACCCTGGGGGAAAATGACTCTATTATCTCAGGAAGGGAACCGCTGCAATCACTTAGCAAATACTTAAAGGTATCGGGAAAAGGTGAGACACGGTTTAGAATTCTGTGCTGTCCAATATACAGAACTTTCCATGAGGATGGAAATGTTCTACACCTGCGCTGTCCGATATGGGAGCCAGTGAGCATTTGAAATGTGGCTAGTGTTACTACAGAACTGAGTTTTTATTTTTAATTTAAATGTACATAGCTACATGTGGCTAGTGGTTACAGTACTGGACAGCACAGCTCTAGAACAGCGATTCCAAACTCTTTTTGTAAGAGTTTTGAGACCTCCTCCACAAAACAAGTATTATTTAGAATTCCAATACATAATACAAATAAAGCAAATGCTGTGGTGGAAGTGCCTGTGTTAGCAGAGTGTGTATGTGTCTGCTCAATATTCCCATTACCTTAAACAGGGGCCCTTGAAGCATTTCCAAGGAAGGCTTGTCCTAGAGGTGTTGAGGAGGCAGCTACACAGAATTTGGGAATAGAATAAGCTGGGTAATGGAGGACAAGAGAAGAATCTAGGATGATTCCCAAACGTCCGGCTGAGGTGAGCAAGCGGATGTCCACATCCTAATCTCTGGAACCTGTGAATGTTAGAGCTCACAGCAGAGGAATGAAGCCTACTCATCAGCTTACCTTAAGAGAGGACGAGTAGCCTGGACCATCTAGGTGAGTCCAATGTAATTACAAGGATCATTAAAAGTAGAAGAGGGAAGCAAAAGAGGAAAGTCAGGGGAAGTGTAACTACCAAAGGATGGTCACAATTCATGTTGACGGCTCTGAAAGTGAAAGAAGGATCCGCAGCCAAGGAATGTAGGAGACCTCAGGAAGCTGGAAAGCACAAGGAAACAAATTCTCCCCTAGAGCCTTTAAAAGCAATGCAGCCCTCCAGACACTGCTTTTAGCCCAGTGAGACCTGTATGGGACTTCTGTGCTACAAAAATGTAAAATAACAAATGTGTATTGTGTCAAGCCAGTTAACTTGTAACAACTTGTTACAGCAGCAGTTAGAAACTAACACACATGTCAAAACTGAAAAACCTGCCAGTTTGAGAGAAAAGGAAGGAAATACTCAAGGAGGGGTCAGCAAATGAGTAGAAGGTGCATTCTACAAGGAGAATGGAGACATGGGGTACAGGTTTCAAAGCACTGTGGAAAAGGTGGAGCAGGGAGACAACAATGCATCAAAGTGAAGGTGTCTGCAGCAATACAGAGATGATAGTGTGTGAAAAAACAGGGGCTGTGCTTTTTCCAGTGTGTATCCCCAACACCAAACACAGAGCCTGGTACACAATAAGCACTAAATGCTTACAGAGTGGAACTGGGGGTGGGGGCTGGAGGTTGGACAGTGTTGTCAGATGATCCTGGAATGCAAGAATGAGAGACATGGTGGGATTTCTGTGTTAAGTGGCCTCAACACTGCAAAAAGCGTTCTGGAAGCTCCACTGCTGAGGCCCTCCACAAAGTATATGTTCAGGTGGTCAGCAACACCTTTGTAAAAAGTTGCTGAAGTTTGTTAAGGTACCTATGAAAAAATATTCCATGACAAGAAACTGGACTTGATGACTAGGGCAACTTGGACTTCTCTTGAGAGGAAGACGACTAAAGAAATCAACTTGGTGATATGAGGAACTCTCTAACTACCTTAAAGAGGACACAATCAAGATGTAAGGAGGAGGACACTCCCTAGTAACAGACTTAAAAACGGAACCAGAAATCTGTGAGCCAGCATCAGAGGGGCAAGAATCTGCAGTGAGCTGAAATGTGTGAAATACGTTAAGAAAAACGAAAGTCTTTTTAGGCTATGATTGGGGAGAAAAATTGGGGAGAAAGGTTAACAGCTTCAAGAACTTGATACACACTAAAATAACAGAGAAGGCAGAGCTGCCTAACTTCCATTTTCTCTGTTAAAGAGAATGACTTTCAAACAGTGAGCGTGGAAGAAATAAGGTTAGGCAGCCCATGCACCTCAAGATAGGTCAACAAGAAAACAGACATTTCAATAAATCCAAGTCTTCAGGTCCTGGAAAATTACATATCTTGGAAAAACAAATGTGATTGTGTAACTAATGATTAGTGACATTTGAGAAATTACAATAAAAGTGTCATACATCACAGATAGGTTCAATGTCATTCCTATTTTCAGAAACAGGAAGGTGGCTTATCTCTTAGTCTGTAACAGGGTGAAGTCAAAGAAACTAAAACTCCAACAGAAATATGTACTAAACAACTGTTTTCGGTCAGACACTGCTAGACACATTAACTCATTTAATGTGACCATCCCTTGACATTCATTCAGATACTCTCAGTAGTACTGAGAAGTGACATTTTCTGTTTTGAAAAGGACATATAGTGGTAGATAGAGATGGTGGTCTCACTATGTTGCCCAGGCTGGTCTCGAACACCTGGGTTCAAGCGATCCTCCAACCTCGGCCTCCCAAAGTGCTGGGGTTAAAGGCCTGAGCAACCGCACTGGCACAAAACACTTCTTAAGATGATTCCCTGGCCAGGCGCGGTGGCTCAGGCCTGTAATCACAGCACTCTGGGACGCTGAGGCGGGAGGATTACTTGAGCCCCAGAGTTCGAGACCAGCCTGGGCAACATCGCATGATGTAAGCATCCTGGGGACCAGCTCGCCTTACTTCACAGCACACAAGGATGGGACTCGGAAAAGCTGAGCTCTGTGGGCCTCAGCCAGGAGCGACTTTGCGTCCAGAGGACGCCCGGCGGTGCACGGAGGCAACTAGCTGTCACACCTGGCGAGGGGAGCTACTGGCGCTCAGCAGTAGAGGACACAATGCGCAGGCCAGTCCCCACGACAAAGAACCTTCCGGCTCCAAAGGAAGCCCCGGCTGAGCTGAATGACCCAGTGACGGAGACAGAAGCAAAGCCCCGAGAGGGCGGACGTGAGGAGGTAGAAAGGCGATGTGGAACAACCGGTCCGACCTCAGGCCAGGGTGGGGTGGAGGTACCAGGCCAACATTCGCGTCACTCAGGGCCCCTGGGACGTCCCCAGGGACTCGGGGCACCCCCCCCCCAACCCCCACTCACTTCATCCCCTACCTGCTTCGAGATGCGGACAACGAAAGCGAACAGCCAACTCCCGGGGCGGAGACTCACGCTCGGCAGCTTTCGGCCGGACTCCTGGAGCAGATCTCGCGAGACCCCGCAGATGCGCTCTTGCGAGATGTGGAGGAAACTTCCTGTCGCCGCTGCGCAGCCGTGCTCATGCGCCATAGCGCTTCAGAGCAGGGCTTACATTGTATCCGCTCAAGTTACTGTTACTTCTTTGTGTTTGCCCATTCTCTTTGCTCTGTGTCCAATCGTTACTCATTCTTTAAAGTCTAACTAAGTCACTCCTCCTCCACAGTTATTTCCAACGAAAACCTACAGCAAGCCCCCAAGAGGGCAGACATTTGCAGGTCGAAAGGCAGTGTGGAGGTACAGGGTAGAGGATGAGCTCCGAGGGGTGAAAACTCGCGGTCCTGCCTTGCCGCCTCCTGCCACCTTTGAGTCGTGCCTGGGTCACGGCTCCTTTCACTTCTGGGAGCCACGGAGAAGTCCGCCTGATTGCTTGAGTTCCTAGTTGGGACTGCGAGACAACGATTCCCTGAGGCAGAGGCAGGGCTCTGAGGGCAGACATTTCCCCTTGTCTTGGGCCTACAGCCCGGGGTGGGCCTGGAACTCAGGCCGCGGCGGGGTTAGCGAGGCGGGCTCGGGAGGAAGCTGACACCTGATGACGGCTCAGGTAGATACACCTGCCCCTCCTCGAGGACAGGCGGAAATGAAGTCTTGTTTGTGTTCGTTAAAGCTCCGTTCCCAGCTGAATCTCTTAGGAATTCCCCGGAGGCTTCTGGACTGTTGTCAGAAATCCACGTTCCCCCCGCCCGCCTGGTAACCTGTAACCGTTTTGTCTTTCAGTCCACCATGCTCCCCAAGGCTGATGTGTTGAGTCAAGATGAACTACGCAAAAAGCTATACCAGACGTTTAAGGATCGGGGCATACTGGACACACTCAAGGTATCAGATTTCATAGATTGTATTGGTGAATTACATTTTTATATTCCTGTATGATTATTTACTCTGACATAATAGTCTCTTGAAAATGAGAAAATGGTGAGTTTGAGTCGTCTTAAAAGAGTATCTTTAAATAATTAATTGTACTAACTTTAAGATAGCGGGTATCACATGATGAACACATTTTAAAGTTAGGCTTGTTTTCTTACTCTGACTTACAGGTTCCTTAATTAATAAGTGGTTTTGTAAGGACATTGACACCATATAGAAAATAATCAAGTGTACTGCTTAATGTGGAAGTTTGGGAAATGAAATTTTTTTCTTTAAAATATATTGAAACGTTTGTTTAATTTCGGCAGCAAATTATATTTGGATCAACAGCCAGGAGTAGGATTGACTCAACATCTCTTCATTACGCTGTGTTTTCCAAAAGCATATTTTACAGTTAAAATGGGAAATTAAGGAAAAATGAGCTTGATTTTTCTCCCTGTGTCCTTCCCCATTGCTTTTGTAGCTTCATAAAATTGCTTCAGACTCATCTGAAAAATACAGAAAAACGTTTAAGGGAGAAAAAAATAATCTCTAATACAACCACTACTTGATATAAGTATGTGTGTACATATCATTCTTAAGTTTAAATTATATGGTGAGCATTTCCCCGTGTCCTTAAAAGTTTCTTGAAATCTTATTTTTCAGTGGCAGCAGGCTCATCTTGGTTGTATGAGTAATATATGTAAGCAGTCCCCATTTGTTCAGTATTTCAGTTATATTCTCCAACAATCCACAGAGGTGAGATAAAGTAGCAGAATTGTTTCCTATACTTGGTATCCTGATCATAAGCTGCCGAAATGGGCTCCTAGGCAAGTGAAGAGAAGAGTCTACAAGGTGTCTGGCTAACTACCAGTTCACTTGAGAGCTGGGGCAATAAAGCTTTTGCCAGAAACCACTGGACTGTTTGTCTCACAGGGCAAGATAAGATGTGCAGGAGAAGGTTCCTAACTTTTGAGCATGGATCTGGACCCATTCTGGAAATAAAAGAAAGGATTCCAGCGAATGTGATAAATCTGTGTATATCTCTACTAACAATCTGCTGCAATTGTCTTCTCTTTTGCTTATTTCTTTCCTTTTTTTTTTTTTTGAGCTAGACTCAACTTCGAAACCAGCTAATTCATGAGTTGATGCACCCTGTATTGAGTGGAGAACTGAAACCTCAGTCCATTTCAGTGGAAGGGAGCACCCTTTTAATAAATGCCTCTAACTCTTTAGTGGCAGATCACTTACAAAGATGTGGCTATGAATATTCACTTTCTGTTTTCTTTCCGGAAAGTGGTTTGGCAAAAGAAAAGGTAAGTGTTTCCTTTTCTATTTGTGAATTTTCTATTAATAATTTTTTCCTCTGATAATTATAAAGTGCTCCATGATAACTAAGTGCTCCTTAACTAGCTAGGTCCATTACTTGTTCATCTTTGAGTTCACATCGCACCTGCACACATTATATGTGTTATATAACAAATGGGAATTAAATTTGATTATTATTAATTCCTTGGTGTATCATTTAGTTTTTTTTTTTTGTAAAATAGTGATATATAGACTCTCTAAATGTTTTAGAGCTAGAATTGATCTTCTGTTCCATGTTGTCTAATGAGACGCTAACATTTCTGTTGAGTATGTGCTATGAGCTTGGCATGTACTAGGCACACTGCAAGTGTTTTGTGTGTTATGGATGAGGAACTGACTCTGGAGAGATGAAGTGATGTGCCCAAGGTCATATAACTTTTAAGTGGCAGTACAGGGCAGTAAATCTAGATCTCTAAAATATGCTTTTTACTAGGCTATAGCCTCTTCAGATATTTCTCCTCTTTGTAATTACATGAGAAGTGAGAAATATATAATTTTAAAAGATTTGTAAAATTCTCAAATATTAAAACATATTTTATGTTTTATCACTTTTTAATTATTTTAGTTATATTTCTTTGCCATTGCCATTGAATTTTCTACTGCTCAAAATTGTTTTTGAACTCATCATTTTGATGCCTTTTAGTGCTTCTGCCATTTTTGGTTTCACCTCTTCCACATAGGCAAGACATTTCCCTTTCAGGACTTTTTTTTTTAATCCGGGGAAACCAAAAAAGTTACCCAGGGCAAGATGGCTGAATAAGGAGGGTGGAACATGGGGGTCATGCTGTTTTTGGTCAGAAACTGCTGAACACTCAGTGAGGTATGGGCAGGTGTGCTCGTACATCACCCATCATGAGATGGGCAAATATATTGAAAGAATCTTCAAAAAAAAATTCATTGAAGCCAAACTCAGCCTCCCACTGATGCTGATGGGTTCCTAGAACACTTACTTAGCAGGGGAAGCCTGTACTACAAAGGACCTGCCCTCTAAAAAAAAATTCCGGTTTATTTTGGGTCCCCTTTGTATGTTTTTTGTAGTTTACTTAACAATATAAAAAGAGCTTCAGTATTGCATTATTAATATAGTTATCATCTTATTTTTACTTCATCTAAAGCTTGTTTATTGATCTCATAGTTAGAAACATATACTAATTTAACATTTAAACATTGATGTAAAGGTATGTCTAATTAGTATCTTTTTTTTTCTTAAGGTATTTACTATGCAGGATCTATTACAACTCATTAAAATCAACCCTGCCTCTAGTCTCTACAAATCACTGGTAGGATTGCTTAGTTTTTATAACCAGCTTTGATTTGTTAATTATGATTGAATAGTTGAATAAAGGTAAAATATTTTCTTTTAACAGATTTCAGAATTTGATAAAGAAAATAGAAAAGGTAGGAGCCTTCATCTGTGTGGAGCTAAACAACATTTTTGTATATACTATTTTCCTTAAAAGTATGGAGCTAATAATTTTTAGGGAGGAAGGTAGGAAATTTAATTTTAATTAAATCATTTAACTTTTCTTGCTGACCATACCTTACCTTTTAAATAAACAACAGTTCATCTGTTGTTCTGACAAATGTAGGTAATTTCCTCATATTTACATTTTTGTAATAACTTTTAGATACTTAGATAAGAAAAGTACAAGCAATATCAAGAGCCCTACAAACAGATTGCAAGATACTCTTTGTAAAATACTGTTTGGAACATTTCTGGAAAAAAAAAAAATTCGAAAAACTAGTAACTTTTAGGCCAGTGTCTATATGTGAAGTATTTTCCTCAAGTACAATTTATAGAGTATTAAATGTATGAGTGCTTAAATAATGAAATACCTGTTTTAGTAATATATGTATTTTTTGTTCTTATATGTTTATACAGACCTGATAAATTGCCTTAATTTTGTCCTTGATGATAACCTTTCAGAGAGTTAATAACTACCATGGGTGCCAAACCATTGGTTAGACTTGAGGATGGGCTTTGTAGCATGAACATAAGCTGGTGACTTACCTTTAATGCATAGTTATTCTTTAGTTCTTTTTAAATAAGCTGTGACATTAGTAGTGGTCCTTTTGTGTTGTTACGGTCTTGGATTTTGTCTGTTGCCAGCACTGCTACTGTCCCCATTAGAACTGTCATTCATTCCTGTTCATCCATTCATTCAGAAATTACTCAGAAAACATTTGAGTACCTACATTCTGCCAACCATTACTCTGTGACTTAATTGCCAGGTTTCTTGGGACTAATGTTAGCAGAGGGTAAGTAAATTGGACCACAAGACATTCTGAGTTTCCTGCACGGTAGACCATTCCTACTGAAGTTCAGTATGGTATATTCTGTATATTATAAGGTATATTGTAAGGTATATTATCCTTAAACATAGTTTTTCACAGTCATGCCCAGTGGCTAACACCTGTAATCCTAGCATTTTGGAAGGCCAAGGTGAAAGGATCACTTGAGTTCAGGAGTTCGAGACCAGCCTGGGCTATATAGTAAGACCTTGTCTCTACAAAAAATTTAAAAATTAGCTGGGCATGGTGGTGCACACCTGTAGTCCCAGCTACTTGGGAGGCTGTGGTGGGAGGCTCACTTGAGTCAAGGATGTTGAGGCTACAGTAAGCCAGGATTACACCACTGCACTCCAGGCTAGGCGACAGAGTGAAACCCTGTCTCAAAAAAAAACAGCTTTTCACCTTTACATAGTCTCTTTAAATGCTTCTGATTCAGAAAGTTATCTGGCTAATACCTTTTGCCAGTTTCACCCAGCATCCCAGTAAAACTGCAAGTCAGTAAAAGTATGAGTAACAGACATATCAGGCATCCTAGTGCCAAAATTTGGATAGAATTATTTGCTAACAATTAAACAGTTACTGTTAAAAAGATTTTTTTCAATTGGTGACTTCCAATGAAGAGATTGAGACCATCTGAAAACATGTAGGAAGATATTTTGTACCCAGTTTCTATCCCCTGAATCAGAGATCTATGGTCTTATCTTATTGTATCTACACTCTGGAGGTGCTGCACTGTTGAACAGTCATATAACTTTTCCCTTAGATTCTATCCACCCATTCTTCCCACCCCTAATTTTTCCTCTCTGAGATAATGATATTCAGAAAATGATGGGCACAAAATTTGGGTGAGTGTTGAAAATTAGGACATTGGCCCTTTATTTTCTGAAAGTTAAAATTTATACCTGTGATTGGCAAAAGAATAGATACATAGGTCAGTGGGACAGAACTAGAGCATCCAGAAGTAGATCCACACAAATGTAGTCAACCGATTTTTTTTACAAAGGTGCAAAGGCAATTCAATAGAGGAAGGATAGTCTATTAAGAAATGGGGTCAGATGCAGTGGCTTGAGCCTGTAATCCCAGCACTTTGGGAGGCCAAGGTGGGGGGATTGCCTGAGCCCACAGGTTCAAGAACTGCCTGGGCAACTTGGCAAGACCTCATCTCTACAATAAATCAAAAAATTAACCAGGCCTGGTAGCGCGCGCCTGTAGTTCCAGCTATTTAGAAGACTAAGGTGGAAGGATTGCTGGAGCCCAGCAAGTCAATGCTGAGGTGGCCATGAGCATGCCACTGCACTCCAGCCTGGGTGATGGAGTGAGACTCCAACTCAAAAAAAAAAAAAAAATTAAAAGAAATGGTGCTGGAAGAATTGGGCATTCATACACACAGAAATGAACCTAGACACAGATCTTACACAAAAACGAACTCAAAATGAATCATAGACCTAAATGGAAAATGCAAAACTATAAAACTTCTAAGTGGAATCAGAAAATCTATGTGACTGGGTTTTGTGGTGAGCTAGAACACCAAAAACAATTATATCTGAAAGAACAGACGATCAGTTAGACTTTATTACAATTTAAAACTCTCTGTAAAAGACACTGTTAAGAGAATGAAAAAACAAATTACAGACCAGGAGAAAATATTTGCAAAACTCATTTCTGATAAAGGATTTGTATCCAAAATATACAAAGAACTTTCAAAACTCAACACTAATAAAACAACCCAACTTTTTTAAAAAGCAAAGGCAACTTGCCAAAGAAGATATATAGATGGCAAATAAATGTAGAAAATATGCTTGCCATGATTTGTCATTAGGGAAATACAGATCAATTAATCTCACAACAGTGAGATTCCACTGCGCACTATTAGAATGGCTAACATCCAAAACACTGACACCACCAAATGCTGGTGAAACTGGAGCAACAGGAACTCTCATTCATTGCTGGTGGGAATTCAAAATGGGGCTGTCACTTGGGGAGACAGTTTGGTAGTTTCTTACAAAGCTGAACCACAGTCTTACCATACAATCCAGCAGTCATACTTCTAGGTATTTGCTATCTGATTTGAAACGTTTGTCTACACAAACACCTGAACATATGTTTTAGCAGCTTTTTCCTAATTGCCACAAATTAGAAGCAACCAAGATGCCCTGCTGTAGGCGAACGGATAACTAAGCTGTGGTACATCTATACAATGGAATATTACTATCTCACAGGAGTGAGTTGTCAAGCCATTTAAAAATATAAAATAACTAAGTAAACATTGTTCATGAAAGAAACCAGTCTGAAAAGGCTACATATTATATGATTCTGTTTATATAACATTCTGGAAAAACAAAAATAGTAATATATTTAGACCAATTTTATTTATTTTTCCTGAGTTGGAGTCTCCTTTGTTGCCTGGAGTACAGTGGCGTGATCACAGCTCACCACAACCTCGACCTCCTGGGCTCAGGCAATCCTTCCACCTCAGCCTCCTGAGTAGCTGGGACTATAGGTGTGCACCACCATGCCCGGCTAATTTTTAAAATATTTTTGTAGGGTTGGGGAGTCTCACTATGTCGCCGAGGCGGGTCTTGAACTCCTAGGCTCAAGCAGTCATCCTGCCTTAGCCTCCCAAAGTGCTGAGATTACAGGCGTGAGCTACCATGTCTGGCCTAGACCAGTTATTTTTAAAGAATATACTTAACTTGATGGAGATTTAGTGGTTTTATTGTTGCCTTTTTGCCATTAGAGGCAATCAGTGTGCAGTGTGCACCTTTGTGCCCTTGTAAAAGTGTTGCTGTATAAATTCATGGGAGTGGGATGACTAGGTTAAAGGTTACATGCATTTTGAATATACCTAATCACTGACAGATTTCCCTCCCAAGTGAATGAGCATGGCTATATCTCCACTCCCTTGCCAACACTTAACATTATCAAAATTTTGATCTTAACGATATTATAGGGAAAATATGGTTTCTCTGTTACATTAATTTTCATTTATGATTTTCATATTCAACATTTTAAAACGTTATTCATGTTTATTTGACTTTTTTCTGCAAACTGTTCATATCTTTCCCCAGTTTTCTATTTTCTTTTCCTGATTTGTAAGAACTCATTGATATGAAAATTAGTCTTCTATTTTATTGTAGACATTTTTTCAGTGTATCATTTGTCTTTTTATTTGATTTTATTCCATATACAAGCTTTTAATTTTTATGTAGTTAGATTTATAAATATTTCTTTTTATTCCTTCCAGGTTTTGTGTCATGTTTGGAAAGGCTTCTCCTCAGAAATTATTCTTAAAATGGCATATATGTATATAAAAAAATGATAATATTATAAAACAAAGAATGTATAAACAGTGACTGAGCAATAGTTGAAAGAAAATTCTGGAACAAAACTGTATACCTTGTGTTTTTTAGGTTTTCTTATGCATTTTTTAAAAGAATTGGCAGACTATCATCAAACTAAAGAGATTTGTGATACAGAAACTCAGACAAGTTCGACATTTCCTAGCAAATACTCCCTGGGTAATTATAGCCTGCCTTCTTAAGTTTAGTTTTGCTATTTGCTTTTTGAATGAAGGAAATTAACAGACTTATCATATTGTTTGGGGGTTCCTTGAACTGGAGGAATGCAACCTGCAGGCAACGAGGGAATTCATTTCTTCTGGAATCATGTTGCTGGGAGGGACCAGGAATTGCTGTCTAGTGTTGTTCTCTATCCTCACGAATGCCAGGGCTACATTGACCAAACAGTGCAGGTATCCAAAGGCCCACATTCTTCCTTGTTTGTTGGGTTTGACCTCTCTTAACTGGGAGGCTCTTCTTTCATGTGTTGTCTAACTTTATGTCATAGCCACTAAGTTAGAAGATCATAGACTATTTGCTTTGCAAAGAACTAGGAAAATCACTGGTTTATCATTTCTTATTTTATTATACTTTATTTTATTTTAATTGTGGAATACATGTGAGGATTTGCTACATAAGTAAATTGCATGTAGGTGAGGTTTGGGCTTCATGCCCTCTCTCCATGTAGCAGTGGACTTGGTACTCCAATGGGTGGTTGTGTACCCCTTATCCCCCCCCTTTTTTTTTTTAGCAGTGCCCAGTGTCTGTTACTCCCACCTTTGTGCCTGTGTGTCCAATGTTTAGTGCCCACTTATGAGTGAGAACATGTAGCATTCTGTTTTTTGTTTCTGTGATATTTCACTTGGAATGGTGGTCTCCAGCTATATACATGTTGCTGCAAAGGACATGATTTTGTTCTTTATGGCTGCATAGTATTTCATTGTGTACATTTACCACATTTTCTTTATCAAATCCACTTTCAATGGATTTTGGGTTGGTTCCATGTTTTTGCTATTACCATCACTTCATTTTGTAGTGGAGGAAACTGAGGTACTCAGAGGAAGAGCAGCTTGGAAACACCTAGTCTGCAGCAGAACTAATAGTAAAGTCCAAGTTCTCTGGTGCATGATCCAGAGCTTTTTGTGCTATACGGCCTTTCTACAATACCACCCTGCCCTTCAGTTTTATGCTCAGTAGAGATGGTAAACAGCTGTTTAAAATGTTGTGTTTAATTGATTTATTGGCCCTTCCTTACTCTTAAACAGAAATAGTGCCTTTAACTTGTAAGAAATAGTTCATAATTTACAAATAACAAAAACAGAAAAAACAACTTGTATGACTAGGATTTTACTTATGTGTAGGTTTAATTCCATTAGAAACACATTATAGGCTGGTTATAAAGCAGTGCTACCCAATAGTGTGAGTCACATAGGTAATTTAAAATTTTCTGGTAACCATAGCTAGAGAATAAAAACAAACAGGTTAAATTTGTTTTAATAATATATTTAACCCAATACCTCCAAAAATATTATTTCAACATAAATGCAACATAAAAAATAAAAAATAGCATTGAGATATTTTACATTTCTTTTTTGTGCTAACTCTTTTAAATCTGGCATGATTTTTATACTTGGAGCACATCTTAATTCAGACTGGTTGCATACCAAGTACTCAGTGGCCACATGTGACTGGAGAGTCCTGTATTGGATAACATAGTTAGAGCATTTGGGAAATACAGAAAAGTAGATGGAAAAACTTGTCTAAAGTCATGCCTACCAGAGACAAACGCTGTCAATATTTTAATCTACTTTTGCCAGCCCCCCCTTTTTTTTCTGTATATACTTTTTGGTGGGTGTTATCCATAGTTGAGATTGTACTCTGGGTTCAGGTTTGCACTCTGCTATGTGGTTGATTCACAGTTGGTTTGAGAACCACTGGCCTAATGGAAGATAGAGTCAGTAGACCTTGCCTTATTTCTGGTTATGGTGTTATATAGTTGCTTAACCCTCTGGCGGTCATCTAAACTATATTGATATTTGTTCTTTTTCTGTGAAGTGGATGGGTTGAAATACATGACCTTTGATTTTTTTCAAAGTTGTTGTTTTGACTGTATAAGTCAACTTTAATCAAAGTCCAATTAAGTGGCCAACCATGGTGGCTCATACCTGTAACCCCAGCACTTTGGGAGACTGAGGCAGTAGGATCACTTGAGGTCAGGAGTTCAAGACCAGCCTAGGCAACATAGTGAGACCTCATCTCTACAAAAAAAAATTTTGAAAAAATTAGTCAGGTGTGATGGTGCATGCCTGTAGCCCGGCTGCTTGAGAGGCTGAGGTAGGAGGATTGCTTGGGCCCGGATGTTTGAGACAGCAATGAACTATGATCTCACCAGTGTGCTCCATCCTGGGCAACAGAGTGAGACCCTGGCTTTAAAATAAAATAAAAGTCCAATAAAGAGCTCTCTGCCTTGACACTTAGAGACTGGAAAGAGACTCCAGTATTTTCTGACTTAAATTGTACTCTTTGTTTTCTTTTTTCCCTCAAATTTTATGAACCTTTTGAAGTATACATAAACAATTTTACAGTGAACACTTGTATGCTCAACCCCTGGATTTCACCATTACATTTATATTAAACCTGCTTCAGCATTTATCTGTCCATCCATGAATCCATCTTAATTTTTTTTATGTATTTTAAAACAAACTGCAGACATCCTTAGGGTTTCCCCTAAGTATACGCTTTACTTTCAAACAGAGGTCTGGCCTCTTGTACACCTGACCTGTTTTATATAGCCTAATTTGATGTGTGATTGTTTTAATAGCTGAGAAGCTTCGGCTGATTGATGATCAGTTTGCAGATGCTTACCCTCAGCATCCCCAGTTACAGTCTTTAGAAATAAAGCTAAATGAATATAAGAGAGAAATAGAAGAGCAACTTCGTGCAGAAATGTGTCAAAAGGTAAGTTTTATCTTGCTGTTGTTAACAAGAGTGATGTTTTTGCTTGTCTTCTAATGTCTTAATCTTAGATATATGGGAAAATATCCAGAACTTTTATTAAAGAATAGGATACTTGGCCAGATGTGGTGGTTCATGCCTGTAATCCCAGCACTTTGGGAGGCTGAGGCAGTAGGATTGTTTGAGGCCAGGAGTTCGAGACAAGCCTAGGCAACATAGCAAGACCTTGTCTTTACTGTCAAATTAGTTGGACGTGGTGGTGCATGCCTGTAGTCCCAGCTACTCAGTAGACTGAGGCAGAAGAATCACCTGAGCCTAGGAGGTTGAGGCTGTGGTGATCTGTGATCTGATCGCGCCACTGCACTCCAGTCTTGGTGATAGAGTGAGACTCTGACCAAAAAAAAAAAAAAGAATAGGAGACTGTACTGTTGTGCATATTATTTTTATTTCCAATGGATGTTATTTGTTTATGTTTTTTGAATGGATCCTTCAGATACAGTGAATGATATAAAACTAAAGATAAATTAAACTGAATATGACATATATGGACAGAGCATTAATATTAAACCTAACCATGGAGAGAGAATTTGTTACTATTTATTTAGTATAGTCTTTGGTATTTTTAATTGATGTGATCCATTTGCAGTTGAAGTTTTTTAAAGAAACTGAAATAGCAAAAATGAAAATGGAGGAGAAAAGAAAATATGAGAAGGAATTAGCTGAGTTCCGGAATGATTTTGAAAAAGCTTGTCAAGCAAAATCTGAAGCTCTCATTTATCGGGAAAAGAATACTCTTGAGAGAATTCAAAAGCACCAGGAGGTAATATTTACAAATAATTTACTGGGCGCCTGTTTCCTGTAGCTGTTAGCAGGTTGGCCCAAGATCCAGGAATGAGACGGGACAATTGATGGAACAAGGCCCTAGAGGAGCATTAGGGACTGGGGCCAAGAGTGCAAATAGTAGGATGGGCATTGAGAAGGATACTCAGACTGCTTTCCTTTGAGACTGGAGGGAAAGAACTGCTGAGGTGAATATTCATGTGGGGATTATGAAAAACTCACACTTTATAAACTCCATCTTCTCAGGCAGATGAGAGGACTGGATAATGGGTTGTAGTAGCAACTTGGAGATGTAAAGCAGATGCTGTGAGTAAGGGAACAGCTCTTTAAAGCAGAGAGGGATAACAGAACTGTGTTGAGGGCCCAGCTGGGGGCAGGGGCCTGGAACTGAGAGAGATCAAACCACATGCTGGTTTTGAGTGAGTTTTCTGTTCTAGCTCTGGGGAGGATTTGTGATTTGTAAGCATCTCTCTCTTTCTGCCCCTTTCCATGAGGGCAGAATGATAGAGGTGCTGAGGGGTAGAGCTTTGCAGAGCTTAATTTATTTGACTTTAGAAAGGCAGCCTATTTAATTGAAGACCCTGGGGCTCTACTGGGTGGTGAAGAGAACCAGAGGAGAGGGCAGGTGGTGTTAGGGGAAAAGGGAGGGTTACATAGCAGTCTCAGCAATTAAGGAATAGGTCTGGAGAGACTGGCATGTGGAAGAATATGGATGGACCAAGAGCAGAGAGTTGCAGGGTGATGTTTGGAGACTGGAAACCAAAGGCAGCATGCTGCCATTGTAGGAAGCCACAGAAGTAAGCAAGGGTGAAGTTGCCTGGGGTAGAGTCCAGAGCCACGTGGCTGTTTGGTCGGCACCTGTGAAAGTAACTGGACAGGAAGTGGAGATGTTGAGGAGTGGCAGGGAGTCCATATGGGCAGGAGGATTGGATCCACTCCTTGGTGAAAACGTGTTCCTTCCCCAAGGGCGTGTCTTAGACCAGATTAGATTTCCAGCACTATTTCCAATATATGTCCAGAACTAATGCTGTCAGGAAATGTTGAAAGTAGGAGGGCTTTCCTTTGGTTGGAATTTCTCAATAATACCTAGTCATTTAATGCTAGTGCACCTTCTCTACAATTTTGTATAGTGTTTCTGAGAATTTCAACTTTAAAGATAAATATTGAAAGCACAGATCTTTGAGATGATTAGATTATATTTGCTCCAAATGTGGCTTATTTGAAGGCTATGAAGAAGATTGCCGTCCTCATAAAAAGCATCATGCCTTTATTCCTTCCCCTTCTTTCCCTGATAAAACAGTGCTGTTCTTCAAGACCCAGCTTGAGTATTACCTCAGTGACGCCTTCTTTGACACCCCCGAGTGACTCATTCAGGCCTCATTCCTACATGCAATCTTTATGTACTTGGGTACACATCCTAGTATGATTGTTTCTCTCTTCCTGACTAAACTGTGAGATCCTTAAAGATACGGACTGTATCTTATCCACCTTTTTATATCCAGCTCCCAGGGTGGTGCTTGACATGTGATAGATAGATAGAAAAATTTTGCTTAGTGAACACATAAACGGAAGGATGACCCATTAGTTCAGGAGTTCATATGAGCTTGCTGACACTGACACCACCCCCAAAATCATGGAGAGTCTATTCTTTTGGAGTTTTGTTACTGAATGCATATTTTGTTTAACCTTTTTTCCTGAAGATATCAAAAAATTTTTTTCCAAGTTTAAAAAAAATTTTATTTTAAAGATGTGGGGTACAATTCAGGGTTAGGTATAAAAATGTTCATTAATGCACGTACCCTTGTTGATGAGGTGTGCCCCCTCACCCAGCAGATTTCCACTGCTGCCAATCCCGCCCCTGCCCTCCCCTGGCAGTTTCCCACTACTGCCAATCCTTTCTTTATAGTATTGCGATAATTGTTCAAGGTCTGATATTATCAAAATTTAAGTAAGGGCATGAGAGATGTTAAAGAACCAAGCAGAATAATTAGACAAAGGATGCTAGGAATAGAGAGTAATGTAGTTTAACAGTCATTGAGGGAATCATTCTTTGTGTGTAAGGGAGTAAATTTTTATGCAGCTAAAATAGGCAGAAGGCACACCTGGAATTGGAATCTCTTGAAGGTGAAATTTTTACCCTAAATATATGTATTTTGATTGTTTTCTGGAATTTAGGAAGCTGTGTATTAGCTCAAATCTATTTTCTTTAGCTTGCTTGCTAAAAATTAATGCTTTCCTATGCAGATGGAAACAAAAGAGATTTATGCTCAAAGGCAGCTTCTCCTAAAAGATATGGATGTGCTAAGAGGCAGAGAAGCAGAGCTGAAGCAAAGAGTTGAAGCTTTTGAATTGTAAGTAATGCATGTTCTTTTGGGATATTCAGAATGATGAGATTAAAAAGAATTACTAAATATATGACTAAACGTTCTAATATTAAGTGCCAGGTAGAGTTCTTGGTTGTAAAGGTGATATCAACTATCATCTGAAGGTACAAGTTAAGAGGAACAAACACTAGGGTTTTGCTTTTAAAACATTCGACATGAGATGAAAAGCAGAATGGGTGAGAAACCATCAGCCTACAGTAACACCAGACAGATAATTGGGAGAGGCTAAGAATGCTTGAGCAGATCACATGTTTTGCAGTTCCACTTAGCCATTCAGATCTGATAGTTTCATGTATGTGTGGTGACTGAATTCCATATACCCAGATCTGTAGTGTTTACCTGCTTCGTGCTCTAAGAGGAAATGTGGTGGTCTGACTTGACTTGTACTAGGTGAAATTATTTCTCTCGTGTGTTACTCACTTTTTCTAAGTGCTCACAAGTGTTTCATCCTTTGAATCTTGCCCAGGATTGATAGCAAACTCACCTATCTGCATTTTTGGAATAAGCCTTCTTTCCCATCTGGAATCTGCTATTAATTAACACCCATAGATACCCCAGGAATCTTAGTTCATTAAAGAATTTGTCTCCATCTTCGCTAATGTTTTCTCACTTCTGTAGGCTTTATTCGTTTGATTTCAACTCTCTTGTCTGCCTTACTCTCCTTTTGGCAGCACTGAAGAGGTATATTGATCAAGAGAGAGAAAAGAAAAGGAACACAATTTGGGCAGAGAGAGTTCATTACTTACCTCCGCTTCCTCTGTTGTTCTTCCCCACTTGTAAGCGTATAAGCTAAGTAAGTGTAGTTTACTGCTTCATGGCTCTCCAGCTTACCAGCAGAGGGAGCTAATACATATAACCTTTACCTGTTTTTGGCCTAATCAGCATTCTGTAGCACTTCTCAGGATAGCTGGATCTCAGTACCTGTGAACCTGGCTCAGGACTTGGTGCTGTGGTTGACATAAAGTCTCACTATGAAGACCATTCCATTCTTCAGTATTTGGAAACCCTGATTGATCTATCTTTTGCTTTCTCTTTTGCCATTCTTTTCAAGATTCAGTCAGTAGTTGTTTTTAAAGAAACTAATTCTCACTATGTTGCTTGGGCTGGTCTTGAACTCCTGGGCTCAAGCAATCCTCCTGACTTAGGCTCCTGAGTAGCTTATATTATAGGTGTGTACCATGGCATCTGGCTAAAGATGATAGATTATAAAACAACAAAAACAAATCTTCTGTCTTTAATATCTGTGGACTAATTGATTAAATCCCACAGTTAGAAACAGCATTATAAGCTGGGCTCAGTGGCTCAGCCTGTAATCCCGTGCTTTGGGAGGCCGAGGTGAGTGAATTGCCTGAGCCCACGGGTTCGAGACCCGCCTGGGCAACTTGGTGAGACCTCATCTCTACAATAAATCAAAAAATTAGCCGGGCATGGTAGCGCGCGCCTGTAGTTCCAGTTCTACTTGGAAGGCTGAGGCGGAAGAATCCCCAGAGCCCAGCAGGTCGAGGCTGCGGTGGCCGGGAGCTGCCACTGCACTCCAGGCGACAGAGTGAGACTCCAACTCAAAAAACAAAAAAAAAAAGAAAGAAAGAAAGAAAAGAAACAGCATTATAGAAGATTCAAGCACATAAGTACACTAACTTTTGTTTTTAACTTTGTAACTTATATTATTCTTTCACCCCAGAGTTGATTTTGGCCATTTATCACCTATAACTATTGTTTAAGTGTGAATTATCTTCTGTGAGGAACCACTTTGGTCTTGACTCTTGCCTACTTCCCTCAGCCAGATGCCACCATCCGGCTCCCTCTGCTACTTTTGATCCACTGTAACTAGGTCAGCTCATAAAATATGTGGAGGACTTCTGGCTCTTTCCTTTTACTTCCCAGTAGTAACAGATTTATTCTTTTGAACTAAAAACATGTTTGTTTTTTTTCTAAAATTGTTACCTCGGGCATTGTAGTGTGTGTGTGTGTGTGTGTGTGTGTGTGTGTGTGTGTGTGTGTGTGTATATATATTTTTTTTTTTTTTTTTTTTTTTTAATTTCAGGACCCAGAGACTCCAAGAAGAAAAATATAGAAGCATGAATGAGACACTTAGGAGACGGGAGCAGAATATAAAGAGTATTGAGGAGACCTATGACCAAAAGCTCAAGAATGAACTTCTAAAGTAATTGTTTGGCATGCTTAAAGAAATAATATGTTTAAATTAAAGTGGTGGAAACATGACAAAAACTGATGAAGTAATCTTACGACTGCCATTTTTGGCAAAATTTAGTGTTTGGGGGAAAAAAATTCTCATTGGTAGTCAATCCTTCCTCGTAAGGATTTGAGTTAGGATAGTTTTGAAAAGACATCATATAGAGAATCACATCCTCTGCTCTTACTCAGAGCTTCTTTAACCTTAATTGAGAGCCTGTGATTTGCTTTACTTTTTAGGGCACCCTGTGACCTGCTTGGCTTGCACAGTTGATAAGGAGTAAAATTGGAATTATAATCACTTTTAGACAGCTCTTTCTCTACCCCACTGTACTGCCACTAAGATGGATATATCTAACAATTTATAAATTACTGTACTTAGTGGTCATAATATTTGTCAATGAACATGTGCCTTGTATTCCTTCAAGATTCTACAAAGCCAGAATCAAAAGAAAAGAACAAAAATTAAAAATTAACTATGTAAAGCAAAAAGTGACATAAGGAAAGGAAAACATGGATAACTGTGGTTACTTTGGCTTTCCTGTCATCTGAGTTTTGTGTACCAATGAATAAATCTTGGAGCAAAGACTTTATGCCCATCTGGTAACTTTTTCTTCAGTGGGCAGTATAGCATCTGACACATAAAAAGTGCTCAGTTAATATCAGAAACAAAAAACTGAATACTGCATATTCTCACTCCAGTGGACCCTAGACACTGGGCACATGAGCACAAAGGCAGGAACACCTGGCCCTGGGCACTCCTAGCAGGGGGAGGAAAGAAGAGGGGATGAGAGACCTATGAGCACCCATTGGGTACCAGGTCCACTATGTAGCAAATCCTCACATGCACCCTACAACTCTAAAATAAAAATTTAAAAATAAAAATAAAAATTTTAAAAAGTACTCAGTTAATATTTTTTGTAAATATGTAGTGAAAAGATAACTCAAGTGCTCTGGGCATTTCTAATTTGGCCTCTTTTTAATGCCTTCCCCATAATTTGTCATTGCTGTTTCATTATGTAGTACTGGCAAAAGTTTTTTGAGGTTATTCTGCAAACAAATTCTATTGTTAAAAAGAAATACAGCAGCTTTTTCATTTATTGATTTTGGAACAATGAATTTTATCCACATATTTTATGTCAGCTCCTGTACTGAAGTAGCAACACTGAGGTACCTGTAGCTGCTGAACTTTTAGAAATAAATGAATAAAAGTGTTAATTTTACATGGTTATGGTTATTAACTGTTTGGTATCCTTGTGACATCTTCCACAGCCTGGAAGGAGTCTGTCTTTGGGGATCCTCATATGACTTTGGCAAGGGTTGGAGTTTGGAGGATATTCACCACAGGAGTGCTTCTCTTTCCTTTCTCCCATCTCAGAACCAGAAGGGCAGCTGGTAACAGCTTGGAAAGAGAAGTAAAACTCTGTGAAAATGTGCTTTTGGTATCACTAATCCAGATCTAATGCTCTTGGCAATTGGCTCTCAAGACCGCTTAGCCCCTGAGAGCGAAACTTCTTATACCTTGGTTGGGAGTGGGGAGATGATACAGATGGATTGAAAGTGACTGCCTACTTATCATTTGGGATTGAGTCTGTGATGTGCTGTGTCAGTTTAACTTAATTTACCTCTTTGCTCTTAGTGTCAGTCGTGACCAAATGAAAAGCGATTGCTTTCAGTAACCTCATGATAACACCACCTTTCATTTTGTGTGATTGAGTTTTGGGACCCAGTTTACAGGATCAGGGAAGGGTTTTACTGGACCTTTTATATTCAGAATTGAGATCCCTGGCCTTAGTACTGAGAGACTTTGCAGTTTACGCATTGTGGTGTTCAGAGGCCTCAGGTGTCCCTGTGCCATAGATAAACTCCTGTATTCATAGCAGCCTTTTCAGGAAGGTGACTAAGAAACTCATTTTTAGTCATTCTGATTCTCAGGTATCAACTTGAACTAAAGGACGACTACATCACTAGAACTAATAGACTGATTGAAGATGAAAGGAAGAATAAAGGTGATGCTTGGGATAGGGGACTATATTTTTCAGTTCTGCTTTTCATTAGCCTGGCTAATTTTTTTTTTTTTTTTTTTGTAGAGACAGAGTCTCACTGTGTGCACAGGCTGGTCTCAAACTCCTGGGCTCAAGCAATCCTCCTGCCTCAGCCTCCCAAAGTGTTAGGATTACAGGCGTGAGCCACCATGCCTGGCCAACAAATTATGTTTTTATGATGTATCTACATATATTTATGTTAGATGAAGTGAAAACTACAAAATAGTAACAGGCAGATCTTTGTCTTCAAGGAAGTTAAGTGCTGTGGGTATTAGGGCCCTGTGCTCTGAGCAGGTGGTGTAACTATAGATTATTAGCTTCCTAAATTGAATCTGTTTTATATTGTAAAAAATATATGGTTTACACTGCCTTGTCTCTACAAAATTGCACATTTTGTAATTTTAATTTTATAAATGTTTTTTAAAAAATCATTGTCTTTTACTACCTGTTTGGAAATCTTCATATTTAATTTTTTTTTTCTTTTTGAGTCAGGATCTCATCCTGTCATGCAGGCTAGAGTACAGTGGCATGATCACAGCTGACCACAGACTGGACCTTCTGGGCTTAGCTGATCCTTCTGCGTCAGTCTCCCGAGTAGCTGGGACTACAGGCGTGTGCCACCATACCCAACTAAGTTTTTATTTTTTTTTAATAGATGAGGTCTTGCTATGTTGCCCAGGCTGGTGTTGAACTCCTAGGCTCAAGCAGTCCTCCTGCCTCAACCTCTCAAAGTGCTGGGATTACAGGTGTGAGCTACCGTCCCCAGCCATGTTTAATATTTTGTATATTTACAAAGTCCAGTGATTTATCATCAGTATTTTATCTAATATATTTTGACAAATAAATCTATGACTGTCAAGAAGGTAACAACTACTTACTGCCACTGGGTACATATTACTCCTAACCATGAGAGGCTTTATCTTTTATTTATGGAAAATTGTATTTTAACCTCTGTGTTCCCTGTGACCTAGTTTCTTATTTCTTTTACTTTTAATATATTTTTATGCTTTATAGTATTTTTACTTGATATGTAACTTTCTAAACTCTTACATGCATTCAAGGATAGAAGTTGAATAATTTTTAAATCTTCAGATATTTTATATTCAATATATTTCTAGGAGATTGCCTGTAACAAGAAGTTGAACTTTTGGTGGAAATTTCAAACAGATTCTTGGGAGTAAACCAGGTCTTGGTACCTGATACTGACAAGACACCCAATGTGTGGCTTCTTCTTTTGCTGCTATATTGTGGAAACGAATACCTTCTTTTATGGATTAGTACCATCATGTACTTAACAAAATATGGAATTTTTGTTTGTTTGTTTGGAGTTGTAGTCTCAATCTGTCATCCAGACTGGCATGTAGTGGCACGATCACAGGTCACCACAGCCTCAACCTCCTGGACCCAGGTGATCCTTTTGCCTCAGCCTTTTGAGTAGCTGGGATTACAGGTGTATGCTACCACGCCTGGCTAATTTTTTAAATTTTTTTGTAGAGACAGAGTCTCACTGTGTGCACAGGCTGGTCTCAAACTCCTGGGCTCAAGCAGTCTTCCTGCCTCAGTCTCCCAAAGTGTTGGGATTACAGGCGTGAGCCACCATGCCCGGTCAACAGATTATGTTTTTATGATATATCTACATATATTTAAGTTAGATGAAGTGAAAACTACAAAATGGTAATTATAAAATAGTAACAGGCAGATCTTTGTCTTCAAGGAAGTTAAGCACTGTGGGCATTAGGGCCCTGTGCTCTGAGCAGGTGGTGTAACTTTGGTTAGCATGTGCAGCAGGTGGAATTTCACCACTTATATGAAAGTTATAACTTCACATCACATCATCTGTTGGGTAACGGTTTATTCCTTACTTGTCTGCAAAAGTTTTGACCCCTGTATCTGCAATTTTCAATTATGAAATAATGGCCATTAGGTCTGACATACTGGCCATAAATATTAAATAGCTTTTGTATTCACTGGGAAAACATGATGTTTAATTTGTGGGTTCTTTCTTTCAGAAAAAGCTATTCATTTGCAAGAGGAGCTCATAGCTATTAATTCAAAAAAGGAAGACCTCAGTCAGTCTCTAAATCGTGTGAAAGAACTTGAGGTAATTGTTAAGCCTATTGTTTTTGAAATAGATTTTAAGCAATATGTGAAACTGTAGTTTTAGTCATACATAATTTATCTTAAGTCATCCTCATGATATGTTTGGACTGTTTTTTGTATGACTAACGAGGTGATGGCTGAAGTTAATTCAATAGTTCTTAATTTCAACGGATGTCACTTGTGGGTCCTAGAATCCTGTTTGAATCCTTTCTGTTCCTCTTACTGCTTTGGGTGCCTTGGGCAAGTTCTGTGACCACAGATTTTTGATCTGTGAACTCCATGATATTTTCCACTTCGTATAGTTGTTGAGGGAGTTCAGTGAGCTAACTTATCTGCCTTGCCCATGGCAGGTGGCCAATACTTATTAGTTTCTACCTCAGCCTTTTCTCTCATTCCCATCAGCAGCACGTAAAAATTTCTATTGCTGTATTATCTTACAGATTAAAACAAAATGAAATGCATTTTTCCCCCATGCCACTGTTTCTTTGTTTCTGTTCATTAATGTGTTGGCTGTCTAAAGGAAAAAGCTGGAACTTTAGGTATTTAAAACATATTTTGTATATAAAACTTATTTTTGCAACTGTGATGGCTTATTTATTTGATATCTTTGTAGACTTTTGTACTTAAATATGAGATATATCATGCTAAGAAAAGGAAAGCACATCACAGCATGTTAGAGATCATTTTTATCTCACCTTTTTATGTTTAAATATATATATGGCTACAATATGTGATTGTTACTGAGTCCTTGACTGCATCTAGAAAATGATGTGATACTCGTAATCAGAAGAGTACTTCTGCTTCATTAGATGGGTCTATAGAATTCAAGGTAGATGAACTTCTGTCCCAACTCTAGGGCAAAAGCTAACTTTCAGTATTATAGTTAGGGTCTTGTTGCAGAGAACCAAACTTCCATCCAGTGACTTTAATTAAATTGTGACACTTCATTTAAAGAAGGCTGCTTTTACTTTTACAGTACTGTAAAGTCATTATTCAAATAAAGCTTTCCTTTTTCAATTTCAGCTTGAGTTAGAGTCTGTCAAAGCCCAGTCTTTGGCAATGACAAAACAAAACCACATGCTGAATGAAAAGGTTAAAGAGATGAGTGATTATTCACTACTAAAAGAAAAGAAACTGGAGCTTTTGTTACAGAATAAATTACTTAAACAACAACTGGAAGAGAGCAGAAATGAAAACTTGCATCTCCTAAACCGTATGTCTTTATTTTCTTAATTTGTATGTTTAGTAATTCATATTAGGTCAGTCAGTATTATAAAACTGTGCTTTGTACTGGTAAGGGGAACCTAAATTGGGAAGATTTTACAAAAACCAAGTTTCTCAGATTAAAAGTACTTCCTTTTTGCTTGTTATTTCATAGTTATTAATTACAGCATTACTATAAGAAAAAATATTTTTAAACTCTACAAATCTGCCTCTCTGGATGGTATCCAGGCTCTCTTTGCCCTCTGACTGCTGACTGGATTTGACCATGGGGGAGGGACACCAGCAAGAGCTTGGAGAGAGAGAGGAAAGGGAGGTCAAGGTTGTTGTTATCTCCACCCTCACCCTACCCCTACTCCCTCATTCATTGGCCCTAGTCTGGCCATTACAACCTTCAGCCAAGCGAGGTCACAGTGCCTGGGGATGGATGACTCTTTCTCTCCAGTGCTGGGAATTTCTCCCTCCTCTGATCCTCCAGGTCCAAGTGGTGCCAACCGTGGGCCCTGTTACTAGCCCAGGGAACACCACCATTCTTTGTGAGTACCCTGAATAAGTCTCCCTTTATTAAACGATTCTTAGATTATCTGAATTGAGGGTACCATCTGCTTTCTGTTTGGACCCTGACAGCTGCTGACAGATGCACAGATCATATTGAATCTTGAGGCAGTCATCAATAGGTAGATCAGATAGAGTTCCTCCTATGCCTTCTGTGCATGGCAGAGGAGAGGGAAGGCTTTCAAGCTAATTTGAGGATTCAAAAGAGTTCTTTTACTTGGAGTAGGACTCCAAGAGTAGTAAACTTTGCATTTACATGCACTGTATTCTTTTGTTCTGAAATGTGTGAAAAAGGATTGCTCTAAGTTCATTTAATAGAATTAATATATTAATGGCATGAGTACAAAGAAAAGGAACAATTTAAAACCTCTTTAATTGCTTTTGTTAAGTGAAATAAGAAAACTTAAAGTTGATAATGACAAAGATTTTTTTCACCATCTTAGGCATAGCCCAGCCAGCTCCTGAACTTGTGGTCTTTCAGAAAGAACTAAAGAAAGCAGAAGATGCCATAGCATTTGAGCATAAGGAGTTCGAAAGCCACCGGCAAGCTCTGCAAAAACAGCTACAAAATGAAGTGAGTATCACTCTTCGCTGGTTCCAGTCTACTTGGTAGATATGTAAACTTGGCAAAAATCACACCAGCATAAATCAGGTTTATTTTAACATCAAAAGTTACTCCCCTAAATATGCTAAAATTTCCTTCCTCCTCTGAGAAAATTCTCCAGTGACTATATGACTTTATTTACATAATAGTAAGAAAATTGGAAGGAAAGGAAACTCATCTAAACATGACATTTTCTGAGTGCCTGATAGTACCTACTGTTATCTCTTGATTTTTCACCCTGAGAAATATTACAAACATTCACTGTGTCTTTCTGATTTCTGCCTGTGTCCTAGAGTAGCTGTTCTTTGATATGACTAAAAAGGGTGGTAAAAAACTCGTTTGTATGTTTTGTTTCTTTTTTTTTTCTCTAATAGTAACCTTGTTGTTTACTGGTGTGAAGCTTCTCAGAATTGGCAAAACAGAAAGAGAATAAGCACAATAAGAGACTTTTTCATTTTGAAGCAAGCTGTGATTTTTTTTACACTGATTTCTTTTCCTTCTCTGAATCTCTTCAGGTTGAGCATTCTGCACAGCTGAAGGCCCAGATATTAGATTACGATGCTTCTGTAAAGAGGTTAACTCTTCAGGTTGCCGATTTAAAATTACAACTAAAGCAAACTCAGACAGGTTAGAGACATTTTTAACCTGTAGATATCTGTGTATGTAAAGCTTTTGACATTTGTGAAAATTCAGTGATCGTAATTTATTGAATATTTAGTAATTCTTGTATTGGGGGAAAAGGCCATAGACTTATGTGTCATTTTAGAAGTAAAACTCCGTATTTCTGGACTACCACCTGGTCATCAGCTAAAGTGACTCACCCTCACAGGTGTCCCATGGCTTGGGAGAACTTCATGTTCCAAATAGAAAAAGTATGGTGGTGACACAGAAGTCCCCAAATTCATCCTAGGCTCTCCTTTTTTATTTGTTATCCCAGTAATAAGACCAGCTGGTTATTCAGTAATATTATGTATTCCTTGATTGAGAGAAATATAAATATATGGGGAAAGCAGGGTGGTTTAGCAAAAAAGAGCATTGCCCTTGGAATTAGATGTGTTTTTTAGACCTCAGTTTTGAAGTTAGTTGTTTGACCTTGGGCACGTTACTTTAACTTCCTTGGGTCTCAGTTTCCTCATTTGTAATGGGGATATGGTGAACAAAGATAAAATGAGATAGGTTTCAGTCCAGTGCCTAAGTCATAAAAGACACTCAGCAAATGGTTTCATTGCTATGTCTTCGCTGTGGATGCATAGCTGCCCCTTCCTACAACATAAGAAGGATCTTGAAGCTTCAGTACTTTCTTCTCCAGTTGCTTTTGAGCTCAAGGCAAATGTGTGCATGTGTTACCAGTTCCACTGGCTTCCTAAACTTCCGTGTTCTGCATCTTCCTCACTCTCACCCGCACTCTTTCCTTATTGGTCCCTTGTTCCCTTCTCTTGGCACTTGTTGAGTTTTTATCTCTTTATTCCTTTCTGCTCTTTTCCTTTCCTCATTTTCTCTGAACAATTCTGCTTGCCAAACTTTCTACAGCTGAAATCATAGCAGTCTCATGTTATGAAAAGTAGTTCAATGAGGACAGAACCCTTTCGCCTTGCAAGCTTCTGTCTTATAGCATCATAGGGAGGCATTGCTGGAGCGTAGAGGGCATACACACTGACTTTGCATTAGGAAATTCCAGTGGCTCTGGGGCCTGCTGTGTGACCCAGCCTCGGTAAGCCTCAGTCCCCCATCTGTAAAATGGGAGCAGTAAGAGTTCATGACCACAGTGTTGTTGTGAATGTGGGTCCTCACTCTCTTATGTGAAACTTGGGCCATTGCTGTGGATTTTGCAACAGCCATGGGAGTCCTGGGGCAGCATCCTGTAGTGAAACATTCATTATTTTGCAGTCAAATGTGTGAATACTTATGCTGGGATAAATAAAGATTATAAATGGGTTTTCATCAGTTTAGGTTAAGCTTTTCTTTTCTTTTTCTTTTTTGTTGTTTTGAAAGCAGAATTTATTGAGAGGACAGAAAATTTCCCACAGTGGGAGGGGACCCGAGGGGGTTGCCCCAAATCAAGCTTTTCAACCAAATGAGTTCAAGTCTCGTTATGCTTTGCCACCAAATAAATTAGGAATAAATTTTTAGTTCTCAAGGCTTTTTGAATTTCAAAATTGTGCATAATGAATTCTGAAGTTATATTGTGTTACAGAAGACGATGTATGAAGCTGTAGCTGGTACATATAAGCTCTCAGTAAATGTTAGTGGTTGTTACCATTACTGTGGCTTCAGGAACTGTTTAATGTGCAAGTTTGTCATTACTTCCTTTCATTTAAAAAAACTATTCTCAAATATACAAATTCTATTCTCCAGTTTGTCCCCTCATTTCTCAATTATCTGTTTGTAATTTGCAGCCCTAGAGAATGAAGTATACCGCAATCCAAAGCGGTCTCTGATCGACCATTCTGTCAGTGGATTAATAAGTGGCAAGATGGTGCCTCACAGTGGTAATATAAGCAAGGATTTCTTGAGCAATTCTCTTGAACAGGAAAAAGTTATGGCAACTATAGTTGCACCGAGAATCACAAGTTATCCAAGTGCAGGGGCAGAGAGTAGTTCCCCTGATTCTGACCTTGAGTTTGTAGCCGATACTAAGGCAAGAGTCAAAGAGCTTGAGCAAGAGGCCGAACGCTTGGAAAAGGCTTTCAGAAATTACCACCGGAGAGTCATTCAAAACCCCACCAAAAGTCAACAACCAGCAAAGAGCCCAGCATCTCAGCACTTGCTGGGATCTCTCAAAAACATCACTTCCAGTTTCCCAGAAAGACACATTTCTGCAGAGGATATAGTTGTCTCTGAGCAGCCTCAGGTGGGCACACTTAAAGAGGAAAAGAGCAATACCTCGGAAGCACTGACTGGCAGTTCAACCTCAAGGCTTCACAGGGGCACTTCCTCCAGACGCCTTTCCTCCACGCCCCTACCAGAAGCAAAAAGAAGCCTTGAAAGTGAAATGTATTTGGAAGGTAAGCTACTGCACAAAGGGGTGTGGGATGCTCTGGAGTTGATTAGCCCTGGGCCTCATGGAACCTCTTACTTGAAGGAGAGCATAGCCCTTCACCAACAGGAAGTAATGGACTGAACACACAGTGGTCAGGCTTCGGGGAGCCCCAGCACAAGCAGTGTGTCCATTCTATGAACGTGTTGCCTCCTGGTGAACAGTGGCATCTTCCCCTGTGACACAGGGTTGCTGCAGGAGTTGGTGGGGCACAGAGTGTCAAGGTCAAGCATTTACTTGGCATGCACACAGAGGCTTTCAAGGAGTGACAGTGGCCTTTTGCTGCCTGTTGGGTCAATAAATTTTATTATTGCCACGCAACTTAGGCACTTGAATCATTACTGTTGTGAGTCTTAGTCATCAAAGTCGACTGTTTGCAAGGATAACTATTTGTTTTCAAACTATTGGCACTCCTTAGAGACTATGCTGGTATCTTCATGCAATGTGTAATCATGTCCTGGTTCCTTCTGCCCCTTAGGTTTGGGCAGATCACCTGTTTCTTCCCCTAGTCATCCTGACAGAATGGCCCAGCCGGCACCTGCTGAGTCTAGGCACGGCGTCCCCAGTCCTCCTTTCTCCAGTCCTACCAAGGAGAAGGCCGGGTAGGTACCAAGTCCTGAACAACTTCAGCTGGATCGTGTTATTTGCCTTGGCCTTTTCTCATTTGATTTTTTAAAGATGATATTAAAGATGTGGCTGTGTAGAATTTGCAGCCAGATTGCAAAGTGGTATGTGATCTTTGAGAATCATCTGAATTACCTGGAGGAAAAAGACTGCTTTGGGCTGGGCATGGTGGCTCACGCCTGTAATCCCAGCACTTTGGGAAACTGAGGCGGGAGGATCACTTGAAGCCAGGAGTGTGAGACTGGCCTGGGCAATGTAGTAAGACCTCATCTCTACAAAAATAAAATAAAATAAAAAAAAATTAGCCACATGTGGTGGCACACACCTGTAGTCCCAGCTATCCAGGGACCTGAGGCAGAAGGATTCCCTTAGCTCAGGAGGTCAAGGCTGCAATGAGCCATGATCATACTACTGCATCCAGCCTGAGAGATAGAGTTAGACTCTGACTCAAAAAAAAAAAAAAAGACTGCTTTTAGCAAATAAGTAGGTTAATACTTATTTTGTTAAACTTGATATATTGACTATGCAATATGGTATTAATAAACAATGAGTTCTATGGATAGACTCGCTTTATAATGATAAAAATAAATGTACACAATCTGTGAAAGTAAACAAATTGAGGTTATTTTTAAAGTTGGAACAGTTTCACACATCATTGAAAAAGGCATTTCAAAATATTTTGGCATTTAAATATCAACAAATAAGGTTCTGATTTGTATATCATTGAAATAAATTCTAAAGTGATAGTGGGCTCTGGAGTATGATTCTTGAAGCAGGGAGGAGTACATGATTTTAGAAATTAGGCCAGTGGGTCAGTCGGGCTGTACTTAGAGTCACACGTGGAGTCCTCATACCTGTGCCCCACAACAGAGAGAACTGACTCCTTGGTTCTGGGCCCAAGCCTGGGCATCTGCATGTTTATATAGTTCTCTTGTACCAAGTTGAAAACTGCCATGTGCCTGTTATGGTCCAAAACATTTATTTGTTTATTTGTAATACTGTGCTTCCTTGTGATAAACCAAAAGGAAAGACAAGACACACACCTCTACCAAGTTAGGGCACTTTGTGCTCCTGGGGTGAGGTGTTGCATCTTCACCTGATTTGTACTGATGGTGTGCAGAATTTGTTTGTTTTTTTTCCCAAAATGCCTTGTGGTTATTGAAAAACTAAACTCCTAGGAATAGCACTGAGAATACATTATTCTTTGTTAACAACAGTAGTGTCTACCCCACAGCATGAGGTGGTTACAAGCAGTAACTGAGTAAACATGTATCAATTACTGAGAACTATGCCTGGTGCTTGGTGAGGTTTACAAGCCAAATAAAAAGGAATTTTGTAGAGCACACTTTTCTTGAGTCACAAAAGGCTTTTTTTCACCACATGCTCTTGGGTTTTATGTTATTAAAACTTTACATTCATGAATTTTATTCTTCCAATCTAGTCTTCCTCAGAGACAAATTGAACTTCAAGACAAAAGTGAATTTTCAAATCTGGACAAGCTAGCTTTTAAGGATAATGAGGAATTTGAGTCATCTTTGGAATGTAAGTTCAAATATAAGTACTAGTTTTTATAAGTTGAAAATGTAGAAAACCTAGTTTTAGTAGAACCTATCCATTGGTATAAAAAGCAAAGCAGTTACAAATTGGGACATTTTTATTTTGTGACATGACCACAGGTACAGATATTTTACCTCATTTTTTTAATCACAAGGATTTTCAAGGGTGTATCTGAGTTCCCTTGTTAAAGATGTTAGTATGACTAAGAATTTCAGAGTCAGAGCTAAGCCCATAAACTCTTAACCTACTTTATCAGATTTAAATGTGATATTTCATATTTTTTTCCTTTTTATGGAATACAAAGATGTTATTTTTCTTTAAATTAAACTGATTCTGTTGATTGCTTCAGATTTAGAAAACCTCATTCTTAGTGAAAGAATGGAGATAAAAGAATATCGAGTCCAGAAGCTGGCAGCCTAGCCATGGCCTTACCTTAGACTGACTCATGTTGTAGTCCACTTTGGAAGTGTAAATAAGGATGTAGAGCTGATTATCTCTAATCAGCTATTTTCTATTTATGAAAAGTTGTGTATTTATTCTTACATGTTTAAACTTCAGTCACCTTCAAGATACTCTCCATTTGATGCAGTACAACTATCAAGACACTTTTCCACTGCTCAAAACAACTTTGAACAGTTTTTGAACTTGTGACTTTTGATGTCTTTTAGTGTTTCTGCCGTTTTCTGTTTCCCCTCTTCTACATCGGCAAAATGTTTCCCTTTTTTCATCTGGGGAAACAAAAAAAAGTCACTTGAGGCGAGATCAGGTGAATAGGGAGGGTGGGGCATGGGGATCATGCTGTTTTTGGTGGGCAGGTACATTGTCATGGTGGAAGAACCAGTTACCTGTTTGCCACAGCTCAGAATGTTTCTTCCACAAGTTGTGATGCAATCTTCTCAAAACTTCCAAATAAAAACTTTGGTGGACTGTTTGATCTGGAGGAAAAAATTCTGAGTGTACTACAAGGGGCCCGCCCTCCAGAAAATAATTCTGGGTTTTTGGGATTCCCCCTCATATAACCTATTGTTTAGCCTTGTAAACTTCATCTTAAATCTTAAAGTGTAATGTTTTGAACAGTTACATGAGAGGGCTTAGTAAATTTTGTGAATTTTTGTTAGAGTCTTTTTGTTTTGTTTTTGTTTTTTGGGTTTTTTTTTTTTTTTTTTGAGTCAGGGTCTTACTCTGTCACCCAGACTGGAGTACAATGGCATGATCAGGGCTCACTGCAGCCCCAACCTCCTGAGCTCAGGCAACCTTTCTACCTCAGCCTCTCGAGTAGCTGAGACTACAGGTGTGTACCACCATGCCCAGTTAATTTTTTTTATTTTTATTTTTTTTGTAGAGATGAAGTCTTGCTGTGTTGCCCAAGCTGATCTCAAACTCCTGGGCTCAAGCAGTCCTCCTGCCTTGGCCCTCCAAAGTGCTGGGATTACAGATGTGAGGCATCATGCCTGGCTTTAGAGTCTTTTTTTAAATTATTGATACTTAAATAGAATTCGACTGATTATCAGCAAACCCAGTGAATTCCTTACTGTCACTGGATTGATTTTCCTATCGGGTAATGAATCCAGTTTTATAAGCAAATTTAATTCTTTAAAGTATGGGAACACCTTGAGGCACAAATACATTGGCAAATGGCTATGTTGAAGAAATTCTTAAAATCTTGTAAGGAAAGCCGGGCTCGGTGGCTCAGCCTGTAATCCTGCGCCTTTGGGAGGCTGAGGTGAGTGGATTGCCTGAGCCCGCGGGTTCGAGACCCACCCGGGCAGCGAGACCCCATCTCTACAATAAATCAAAAAATCAGCTGGACGTGGTAGTGCGTGCCTGTAATTCCGGCTACTTGGAAGGCTGAGGTGGAAGGATCGCCGGAGCCCAGCAGGTCGAGGCTGCGGTGGCCGGAAGGGGCCACTTCACTCCAGTCTGGGCGACAGAGTGAGACTCCAACTCAAAAAAAAAAAAAAAATCCTGTAAGGAAAAGGCATGCCCAGTTGCTTCAGCCACAGTCACAGGCTTCACGATGAGTTACCCCTGCACTGCACTGCCCTCCCTTCTCTTGCTGTTTGTGCCTTGTGCAGATGCAGGGAACATGCCAAACCAGGTGGAAATGGACAGGCTCTATCCTGCTGGCGATATGCCCCATGTCGATGCTGCTATAGCTGCTATGCCTACCGGACACATCTCTTATCAACAGTCAAGTAAGTTTCTCTCTTTTGAAAAAATTTTTCTCACTCACTCTGTCACTCACGCTGGAGTGCAATGACATGATCATGGTTCACTCCTAGGCTCAAGCAGTCCTCCCTCCTAAGTCTCCCGAGTAGTTAGGACTATAGGCATGCCACCACACCTGGCTAGCTTTTGTTTTTCTAGTTTTTTTGTATGTTTTTAGAGGTGAGGTCTTTCTGTGTTGCCCAGGCTGTTCTCAAACTCCTGAGTTCAAGCAGTCCTCCTGCCTCGGCCTCTCAAAGTGTTGGGATTACAGGCATGAGCCACCATGCCCAGCCTTTTTTTTCTTTTTTAACTAAGCTAGCATTGCTGCTTGCTAAACACTAGTCTGCGTGCTCTGTATATGATTTCATGTATCACTGAATAACTTTTTGTAGGTGTAGATTAGTCAGAGTCTTGGGGATGGGGGTTTATCACTGTTAATAACATTTCTGAAGTAACTCCCAATGTGAACATGTAACGACAGTGCTGAGGAGAAGACTGATGGAAAGGCTTCTCTTAGTCTTTCCAGATCAGTTGTTTTTTGTTTGTTTGTTTTTGAGTTGGGGTCTCCCTCTGTCACCCAGACTGGAGTGCAACAGCATAATCATGGCTCACGGGCAGCTTCGCCCTCTTGGGCTCAGGCAATTCTTTCACCTCAGCCTCCCAAGTAGCGAGGACTGCACATGTGTGCCAACATGCCCAGCTGATTTTTGCAGAAATGAGGTCTCACTATGTTGCCTAGGCTGGTCTCAAACTCCAGAGCTCAAGCAATCCTCTTGCCTGGCCTCCCAAAGTACTGGGATTACAGGCATGAGCCACTGTACCTGCTCTAGATTTTTTTTAAAATGTTGTCTTTTAGAGACTGGCAGAGCAATTATACTTTTTCTAAGATGCTTCTACAAAAACTATTCCTTGGGAGCCTTATTATCTTGGGAAATCGTGGTGAAAAATTTATTTTTTATTTTATTTATTTATTTTTAAATCAATATTTTTTATTTTAAAATTGTGGGGTACAGTTAAGGGTTAGGTATACAAATATGCATCATTCAGGCACCCTTGTTAATAAGGGGTATCTCCCTGTCCCCAGACAGATATTGACTACTGTTAATCCCACCTCCCTTCCCCTCCCTCCCCCCCCATAGTATCCCACCACTGTCAATCCTTTTCTTATAGTATCACGATAGATGTTCAAGGTCCACTATATGAGGGAGAACATGTGATTTTAAATAATCGTTAACTTCCATTATAGATCTTAATGTGATTGTAACATTTTAATATTTTTTTTCTACTTGTTTTCCTTTGTGTCTTAAATTAGAATGGAAAAACTTTATATTTTAATCTTTGGAAAAGCTGACAACATTGAGTTAACTTATCACTGGAGGAAAACTGATCATCAGATTTCTCTTATCTGGCCCACTTTCTCTTTTCTCCTCTCTTCTCCTGATTGTCACTTCCCTTGCTGAGGTGAAGGGAGACAGGAGGAGAGTCGTAGGGCGCTTTGTGCTTCATTCGAGGGCACAGCCAACAGCCAGTTTTTTTTCTTCTTGGACCAAAGTGTCGAATCTTCAAATTTGAAAGGAAATCTCTCACATAAAGCCACTGCTTAGTCTCTCCTAATCATTGGGAAAACATCATTCTCCAAACACAACGGGGAACCCCCAAAATACTGGAATTATTTTTTGGAAGGCAGGCCCCTTGTAGTGCAGGCCTCCCCCACTAGGTAAGTGTTCTAGGAACCCATCGGCATCAGTGTACCAACTAGCATTGTTGTGAGAGGCTGCGTTCAGATTCAGTGTATTTTTGGGGGGAGAGTCTTTCAGCATGCCCATTTCATGATGGGTGATTTATGAGTGCACCTGCCCACACTGTTCTGAATGTTCAGCAGTTTTTGACCAAAAATGACCTGTGTGGCCCACCCTCCCTATTCACCCAATCTCACCCTGAACAACTTTTTATTGTTTCCCTGAATGAAAAATCATTAAAGGGAAACATTTTGCTGATGTGGAAGAGGTGAAACAGAAAACAGCAGAAGCACTAAAAGACATCAAAAGTGATGAGTTACAAAACTGTTCTGAGCAGTAGAAAAAGCATCTCGATAGGTGTATCAAATAGAGAGTACTTTGAAGATAACTGAGGTTTAAATACACAATTTTTAATAAATAAATTCCAGATTTCTTTGGGTTCTCCCTGGTATATCCATAGCCTCTTGTTAGCAGTTTCTTGGCTTAAATCACGGTACTCAGGAATATGAGGAATTACTGAGAGAGGCAGGATATGTTGAGAGGGTAGATTTTGCTGATTTCATTGTAAATAAGCTTTGGAAAGCAGTCATTCAGTGAGACTTGATCAAGCGCCTTCTCTCTACTGGGTACTTTCCAAGAGGCTGAGCATATAGCAGTGAACCAAACCAAGCTCCAGCCTTCCCGGAGCTTGTAGTGGGTAAGGCAGCTGGTCAGCAAGCCATCACTGAGGCCCTCAGGTGGGAGGTGCTACAACAGCCAAGTGGGGACTATGGCCATGGAAGAGTATCTGACAGGTGGTCATTTGGCAACAACTTGAGTAAGGCAATACAAATGATGTGATGGAAATCAACTGGGATAATGGAAATCAACTGAGTAGCTAGGTGTTCTGCCTCTGAGGTGGAATGTAGATTATAATGCCTTTTAACATCATTACTAAATAACATGATAATGTTTTGGTTATTGAGAAATTTTCTTATAGTCATCATTTCAGCTCTTCATCTGGGCACAAAGGGAAATGAAGAAAGCTGACACTTGGTATCTGAGGCACCCAGTGGACATGCTGCTTTTCTGTCCCTTTGTATCGAAAGATTTCTGTATGCCACCTTGCAGCTACAAAATTTACTTCAGAGCATAGAAGTGGCTCTTTTTTCTTATTTTCTTTTAATTAGCACCAAAATAACTCCTATTTTAAGATTGCTATTCCATATAAGAAAGCAATACTGTTGGAGAATAAACCCTTCTTTCTTCTTTTAGCAACAAGGAAGTTACATTTCTGCCTCTGGAAATTATCAACTATCTCCTCTGATATTTCAATTTTATGAGAAGGATTGAGAAGGGAGAGAGAAGACTGTGTTGTTTCTCTCCTATCAGTAAAACTAACAGTTCTTACTGATGATTTTAGAGCAACACAGCAAAAATGTTCAAAGTCCTCTAGTGAGCCTAGGAATTTTTCTGCTCTTTAGCATTTTTTGGGTAAAAAACAAAATGTAGGTTTTGGGTCAGAGCCAGAAGAGAAAGGTCAGCATAATTGTTTGTGGGATTGAGATTTAATTAAACCTCTGAGGTTAGTGACCTGTGCCAAGAGCTAGAGGGGAGTAGACAAGTCATTAAAACATGGGCATTGCCCAGAAGGAACAGAAGTGAGAGAAACAAGTACATGTAGTTTTTGACAAAGCAGGTACAAGTTACCGTGCAAGTAAGGTGTGGAGTGATTACTTGTCACTTTAGGAGCAAAGAGGACCTCACAGAAAAGGTGGCATTTCAGTTGGGTCCCAAATTGCATTTCAGACTTTGTGGGAGAAAAAGAGCCCCGCAGGTTGAGGAGACAGCAAGGGCAAACACAGAGCAAAGAAGAAGCAGCTATCATCAGGTCCCAGCAAGTGGGCTAGTACAGATAGAATATTTCTGGTACAAAGTTAGTGATGATCTAGGAAATCAATCTAGAAAGAAAAAGGCAGTTTGTCAGATTGCAGACTGCCGTGGGTTTAGAGTATGCTAGAGCAGAGACTGCACATCAGATCCATGTCTTCCCCTCAGGAAATGCAGGTGACCACAGCTTGCTGGAAGGCAGAGGCTGACATTAGGGACAGACTTGGCTACTTCAGTAGTCCTGGGAGATGATGACAAGGAGGGGTCCTCATTGCAGCCGCAGGAGGGGTCATATGAAAGCAAGCCGTGGTGGCCAAGCGAACGGAGGGTGGAAAGAACATGATGGAAGGGTTGGGACGATCATACCAAGGATGAAGCTGGTACTGTGGGGTTTCTATGTGCTGCAGGCACACAGAAGCATCAGAAACATGGATGTGAGACTAGGAAGAGAGACCAGGAGTCAAGGAAAAAGTGTGGAAAGGATCAGTACAGGGCCGATTGGAAACCCCAGGCAGGGCTACTGTCAGCTCAGGGGAAGTGGGGGCTGAATGGTGAGATGGCTGGAGCAGCCAGGCTAGGGCAGTGTGTGGTACAGTTCTGATATATTTGAGGTAGAGACTTGAGCATCTTTATGGGAGTAAGAACAAGTTCTAAAACTGCTGTGTATAGAAATAGGGAGTAATGGCTTAGAGTCCTAAAGGTAGGAGAGGAACCCTAATCAAAGGCAGGGGCAGAAATGCAGAGTTGGCCCTGGAAAGGAGGGAGGTGATGAGTGAAGAGGACGAGAGAACGTGATGTGGAGGCAAGACAGTTGGAGTTAGTCATGGTGAGGGTGACTTGCATTTGTCTCGGTCAAATGAAAGGTGCGGTACGGTGTGGCACAAGGAGTGGGCTTGGGGATTGAAGTCAGACTTGAAGCAGATCAAAACAGTCATCTAGAAACCAAGCAGATTCTCCCCAGGTCTTGGCACGGGCTCCTGCAAACTGGTCCTGCCTTCATTTGAATAATCTGATGCTGGGAATTACTTACTCCTTATTCTGTCTTAGGTGTAGGTCAGAAACAAATTGAAGAACAAAAGGAAGAAGAAAAAGTATGGGAACAGCAAGTGAAAGAACGGAGGCAGAGAGAAGAAAGAAGGCAGAGTGACCTACAAGAAGCTTTAGAAAGAGAACGAAGAGAACTGGAAAAACAGGATCAAGAAAGGGTAATACAGCTAGGCACCATGACTCACACCTGTAATCCCTACACTTTGGAATGCCAAGACAGGAGGATTGCTTGGGGCCAAGAGTTTGAGACTAGTCTGGACAACACAGCAAGGCCCAGTCTCTAGAAAAAAAAAAAAAAGAAAAGGAAAGAAAGGGTAATATGGACAACTTAATTCTCTATACTGATTTCTCCACTGCGTATGTTGTATGCCACCCTGCAGCAACAAAATATGCTCTAGAGCAAAGAAGTAGCTCTTTTCCTTTTTATTATTATTATTATTATTATTTGAGTTGGAGTCTCACTCTGTCACCCAGACTGGAGTACAGTGGCCGCTCCCAGCCACTGCAGCCTCAACTTGCTGGAATCCAGCAATCCTTCCACCTCAGCCTTCCGAGTAGCCAGAACTACAGGCGCGCGCTGCCACGCCCGGCTGATTTGTTTGATTTATTTTAGAGATGAGGTCTCAACAAGTTGCCCAGGTGGGTCTCGAACCCGTAGGCTCAGGCAATTCACTCACCTCAGCCTCCCAAAGCGTGGGATTACAGGCTGAGCCACCGAGCCCAGACTTTATTATTTTTTTAAACTGGCACCTGCAATAAGTACATTGAGCTCAGAGAAGGTAAGTCAATATTGTCCAAAGTCAGAGGGGTGGCAGGTGACTTGAAAGGCATCTGTGTCCTCTCATTTTACAAGCAGTGATGAAGCCTGCATAGAATGCACACCTTAGGAGTTTCATAGTTTTTGATGCCACTTTTTGTGCATTCTCATTTAATCCTTAAAACAACCCTGTAAAGGAGCTAGACTCTGCTTGGCTGCAGAACTTCACTTTGTAAATGGGGTTTAAAGAAGAGGCTCTGAATGTTAGCTAGTAGGGACTAGAACACGAGGGGAGGTGGCAGCCAGTTCATGGTTTCTTCCAGGGCACACACTGCCTTTTTCCTCTGGTTCTCTTCTTGCCTTCTGTGTCCTGATTCTGGTTATAGACAAATGGGTTACTCTGGCCACTTACCATGCCTGCTAAATCTTGCTTGAGTGAATTTTCCGTATGAATGTTCCTTGGACTTCTGGTTAATTTGGTTCTAAAGCACAGGGCATTTTAGGCAAATTAATCCCTTCTTTCATTGGGACGACATGTTTGCCTCCCTTTGATCGTAGCAATAATTTTAATTTTAAATATGTATGGTTCTCTAGTACTTAAAGGATGAGGATATAGTACTGTGCACTTTTCAAACACTTAGAAGTTTTTCAAGTGTATTCTTGTGTTTTCTATTTTGGTGCCCATCTTTTTATAGAGGATGATTGAAGAGTCATTGAAGGTTGAAATGGAAGAAGAATTAGAAATGAGTAATCGAGAAAGGAAAGACAAATCTGCTCACGGCGAAAATCCTTTAGAGAAATACATGAAACTCATCCGGCAGGGGCAAGACCAGAAGTCGTCAGAGAAGGTGCCCATTCTGAGGACAGGGCAATCTACGGGTTGGGGACACCAGGGCTTTTGTGGTTATTTTAACATCTTGGGACAGGAATCTGTCTTCTCCATTGAAGACAAAAAGGCTAAAAGCATAGAAAATCCAAAATTCAAAAGGAATCTCGAATCTATTAAATATATTACATTCTTTTGACAAAATTTCATAGCTTTTGCTTATGATTTTTTTGATTCATTGAAATTTGTAAAGATTGAGATATCTCAGTGTTTTCAAAACAAGAATAATAAAAGCTCTATCATCGAATAACAAATGCATTAGTACTGAAAACATCAATATTTTATATATCTGAAGTATTATGGGTGCTAGATGAATACCATATAGTTTTTTTCGATGCGCCTGCTAAATTTCATGTTTAAAAGTCTCTTCTTTACACTTCTAAATTACATATATATTTCAAAAATAGTTCTGAGAGAAGTCAAAGTGTTTTATGAAATTAATGTGTGTCTAATTTCAAAATTTTTCTTTGCCCTTCAGAGCTTAAAACATATGGTCAGAGAAGGCTCTCCAGTGGACACACTGCCATCTATTGACAGGGATGAAAGGTATGGTTTGCCCAAACACTTTGTATCATATACAAACTGTTACTGCTCATTTTGTCAGCTAAGGAAAGTGGTCAGATATTTGATATTGCCTGTAAAAAATTATTGAATCAGTTGAAATAACTGACTTTAAAAAAAACACTGCATTTTTTTAACTTGTGAAATTGATCCTATACAAGTTGTAACCGAGGGCAGAAACCCCATACGAAAGGAATGAGAACATGATAAAGCTCCTGAAGAAACCTGAGATGAATTTTTACACTTTTATTTTTTGTCTTTCCCTAATTTAGTTTCACAGGCTTTTCTCATGAAGAACCAGATGACTCTTGGTAATGTTTGCTGCCCAGCTTCTTACATACAACAGTGAAAAGTTACATAACATTTAATCCTTTGTAAATGTTTCTCTGCAATCAGACAGCATTCTCAATAAAAATGTTATGTATCAATAAGATCCCAGCAAACCAGATCCAACAACACATCTCAAAAATCATCCACTATGACCAAGTAGGCTTCATCCCTGGAATGCAGGACTGGTTCAACATTTGCGAGACCATAAATGTAATTAAATACAACAACAGATGTAAAACAAAAACCACATGATTATATCATTACACGTGGAAAAAGCTTTTGATAAAATCCAGCATCCCTTCTTAATAAAAACCCTCAAACATCTAGGCATAGATAGAACATACTGCAAAATAGTAACAGCCATCTATGAGAAAACCTCAGCCAGCATACTGCTAAATAGACAAATTGGAACCATTTCCCCTGAAAACCAGTACTAGACAAGGATGCCCACACACATCCCTCCTTTTCAACATAGTTTTGAAAGTCCTAGCTAGAGCAATCAGACAAGAGAAGGAGATCAGGGGTGTCTAAATAGGAAAAGGGTAAGTCAAGATATCCCTTTTTGCAGACGACATGATTCTATACCTCGAAAACACAAAAGAATCTGTCAGAAGCCTCATTGCACTGATAAAGGACTTTGGCAAAGTCTCAGGGTATAAAATAAATGTGCAAAAGACAGTCGCATTTCTATACACCAACAATAAACAGAAACTCAAATAAAAAGCACAATCCCATTCACAATAGCCACAAAAAAAAGAAAGAAAGAAATACCTTGGCATCTTCCTAACTAGAGATGTGAAAGACCTTTACAACAAAAACTACAAAACACTGCTCAAAGAAATCAGAGATGACACAAAAAATGGAAGAATATTCCATGCTCATGAATTGGAAGAGTCAACATTGTTAAGATGTCTATCCTACCGAAGGCAATCTACAGATTTAATGCAATACCCATTGAATTGCCAGCAGCATTCTTCTCAGACCTGGAAACAATATAGGAATTCATATGAAAACATAAACAACCACAAATAGCCAAAACAATCCTCAGCAAAAAAAGAAAAAAAAAAAAAAAAAAAAAAAGGAGGTATCACACTCCCAGACTTTAAATTGTATAAAGCTACAAATAATCAAAACAGCCTGGCATTGGTACAAGAACAGGCATATAGACCAATGGAACAGGATAGAGATTCCAGAAGCAAAACCTCAAATCCTAAACCAACCCATCTTCGACAAAGCCTCTACTAACAACCACAGGGAAGAGGAGAACCTATTCAGTAAATGGTGCTGGGAAAACTGGCTGACTACATGCAGAAGATTAAAACAACATCCCTACCTATCATCATACACAAAAACCAACTGTAAATGGATCAAAGACCTAAACGTAAAACCTTAAACTATAAGAACCTTAGAAAATACAGGAGACACCCTTATGTAAATTGAAACTGGCAACCAATTTCTTATAAAAACCCCAAGCACCCATACCATAAGAGATAAGATAGACAAGTGGGACCTCATCAAACTGACAAGCTTCTGCAAAGCCAAAGAAATCATCAAGAGAGCAGGAAGTTTGCCCACAGACTGGGAAAAAATATTTCCCAACTGTATGTCTGACAAAGGCCTGACATCTAGGATCTACATGGAATTCAAATGTGCTGAAAAGAAAAAAACAGCCCCATGACAAAGTGAGCAAAAGATATGGATAGACACTTCTCAAAAGAAGACATACAAGCAGCCAACAGATACTTGAAAAAATGCTCAACCTCACTAGTCATCAAAGAAATGCCAATTAAAACTACTCATAAGCAGACCTTGAACAATTATCGTAATACTATAAGAAAAAGATTGACAATAGTGGGAAACTGCTGGGGTGGAGGGGGGAGGCGGGATTGGCAGGAGTGGGAATTTGCTGGGGACGGGGGCACACCAGCACACATGTTTATTGCAGCATTGTTCACAATAGCAAAAACATGGAACCAGTCATGATGCCCATTGAAAGAGGACTGGATTTTAAGTACATATACATGATAGAATATTACGCAACCATAAAGAAGGACAAAATTATGAATTTCACAGCAACTTGGATGAACTTAGAGTCTATAATACTGAGTGTTCTATTGCAGAAACTAAGAAGTGAGTATCACATGTTCTCACTCATAACTGGACCTTGAACAATTATCATAATACTATAAGAAAAGGTTTGGCAGTGGGAATTAGCAGTAGTGGGAATCGGGGGGGGGGGGGGGGGGGGCACACCTCATCAACAAGGGTACATGCATAATGAACGTTTGTATACCTAACCCTGAATTGTACCCCACATCTTTAAAATAAAAAAATTAAGGCTGGACGCAGTGGCTCAAGCCTGTAATCCCAGCACTTTGGGAGGCTGAGGTAAGAGGATTGTCTGAGCCCAGGGATTTCAGACCAGCCTAGGCAACTTGGCAAGTCCTCATCTCCAGAATAAATAAATTTTTAAAAAAATTAGCCAGGCGTGGTAGTGCATGCCTATAGTTCCAGCTACTTGGAAGGCTGAGGCAAAAAATTTTTTAAAAATATTATGTATCATCCAGTGTGGTTTTTTCATAATTTATTGGTACTGTAGTATATGAACCAAGAATACTATAGTCAAGTGAAATCCCTTCTCCAGCCATGGAATTTCTCATTCATTACACTAAAATAGCTGGAGTGTTTTTATTCCTTATTTTTGGTTTACATTCTTAAATGAGTATAACTTATCTTGTTGGTCAACTCCAGGCCTACATTTTGAATGTTTACGCTGTGTTCCTTCCTCTCCTGGAAGTCATCTTCCCCAATACTCCTGTTTTGTCCCTGAATATAAAGACATAGATATTCCCATTCTAGGCACAAGAACTAGTATGATATTGCCACAGGTGTGTGCTTTTTGACATCTGCTATGGTTTGAATGTGTATATTCCTTTAAAATGTGTAAGTTAGAACTTAAGCCCCAATGTGATAGTATTAAGAGGTGGGTCCTTTAGGTAGTGATTAAGTCATGAGAGCAGAGCCCTCATGAATGGGATTAGTGAATTTACGTATGGGTTCAAGGGAACTAGCTAGGTTCTTTCGCCCTTCCACCATTTCAGGACACAGCAACTAGGTGCCATCTTGGAAACAGACCAAGCTCTCACGAGACACTGAAGCTGCCAGCACCTTGATCTTGGACTTCCCCGCCTCCAAAACTATGAAATTTGTGTTCTTTATAAATTACCCAGTGTAAGGTATTTTGTTTCAGCGGCAGGAAGAAATTAAGATAACATTTTTATTGCGAAAACTTTGGTCCTCATGCTTAATGAGGACCAAAGAGCATTTCATTTGTTGGTTTTAAATGAATAGGCTCCTTCCCTATAATCTTGACTTTCCATCTCTTAAAAGTCAAATTTTGCAAGGCATAGCCCTCTGGAGGGTTCTACATTTTGTGGCAGGATTGTCGATAATTAAGAGACTGCTTGTGATCTTACCAAACCATTATGTACAGTTTACTCGGGTGACTCGTGACTTAAATAATTGCACAAAATGCTACTTAAACAAAGGTACTAAGTAGTGTGACAAATAGCACACTAATTGGGCTCCTGATTGTTCTCCTGCCATGCATGAATGAAGAGTGATGATCTAGAGTCAGCACCTCATTTAGAAATGTCAGCATATCAATAGTGACAAAGGCTGGGCCTCACTAATAGAGGTCAGATGTAGAAAATCCAAATGCATAATCATGTTGACAGATAAGTAGTTTAAACAGATTATACAATAAAATCCTAAGTAACAAATTTAGCTCTGCTGCTTTAGAGAATAACTATTAGAACTAGATTTGTTTTATATTCCTGAATAAATCTTCTTTCAATAGACTTATACCCTGGGTTTGAAAAACAGCCAGCGGTGCGTGGACCCCTATTAAGGCTTCCCATTGTTTCGACTTTGCCCAAGTTCAAGCTTTGTTTAATCCCATAGATAGATGGCTTTTATTTGTTGGAAAAGCTAGTCAGAAAAGTCTTGCTTTTCACAGACAACTATAAAGTGCTAGTGGCACTTTATACTAAATACAGCCCAGTGGATTATAATATTTTCTCAAATTTGCTCTTGCTGAAAATAGAGATTTTTGCCAGAAATAAAACAAGTTGCCCTCTCTCACAGACTTGATTTCCATACCAACATGAAATCTTGATTATGCATATTATTAAAAATGACACCATACTGAGGACAGAGAAAGATAGGATTTATGTATGGTAAAAAGGCAAGTGAACGAAGCTATAATTTTATTTCATTACTCTTAGTACATCCACAACTATTTCCACCTAAATAGGTCTTTAAAATAAGCATACACAAGTATTGACTATTATCTACAAATATTTATTGTAACACTTGAATAGAACTACAGGAAGCCCTTGGCACTGATAGAAAATATTGATTCACTGTTAGGTTACAAAAATTTATACATAGCAAAATTTAATGCTCTTTACATAAAAAATATTAGACTACTTAAACAAAACTTTCAAGAATTCCTGGTAATAGCTACCAGAATTAGAAAAGTAAAATTAGGCTTTAGACACTGCCTCTTCTAGAACATTGGACTGACAGCACCTCCACTGCTGGAAAGAATAGTTAAGTATCATGCAACAGGAAAACAAAACACTAAGCTATTTTGGAACAACTGTTCTACACAGAAAAGAGCTTCTCCCAATTAAAAAAAGAAAACAAAACAAAACCCAAATAGGCATTTCTAGGCATTAACCAAGAAAAAAAAAAAGAATCCAAATGAAATATTATACTTGATGTTCAATTTTAATAGCATCTTGATAAAGGTATGCTTCCTTTCATTTGGATACATTTCTGCACATGTATATGTTTTAAAATCCAGGAAACAGCCAAACCACAAGTTAACTCTTAACATGAATATACATAGTTAACCCTATAGTAAGCAGCCCCTTTGAAAAGCACTGATGCACCCAACAGTTATATGGATCATTTCATAAAGAACAACACAAAGTTTACCACCACTAATACCCAGTACCTATAGTCACTTAATGTTCTGCAACACAATGATGTAGAAGGCAAGTTTCTTTTGAAAATGGCTTAAACTCAAGCAGTTTT